GAGTGTGTGCAGTACTTGTGAGAGTGTGCAGTACTTGTGAGTGTGTGCAGTACATGTGAGTGTGTGCAGTACATGTGAGTGTGTGCAGTACATGTGAGTGTGTGCAGTACTTGTGAGTCTGCAGTACATGTGAGTGTCTGCAGTACATGTGAGTGTGTGCAGTACATGTGAGTGTGTGAAGTACTTGTGAGTGTGTGCAGTACATGTGAGTGTGTGCAGTACATGTGAGTGTGTGCAGTACATGTGAGTGTGTGCAGTACATGTGAGTGTGTGCAGTACATGTGAGTGTGTGCAGTACATGTGAGTGTGTGCAGTACAGTACATGTGAGGTGTTGCAGTACTTGTGAGTCTGCAGTACATGTGAGTGTGTGCAGTACTTGTGAGTGTGTGCAGTACTTGTGAGAGTGTGCAGTACTTGTGAGTCTGCAGTACATGTGAGTGTGTGAGTGTGTGCAGTACTTGTGAGAGTGTGCAGTACTTGTGAGTGTGTGCAGTACATGTGAGTGTGTGCAGTACATGTGAGTGTGTGCAGTACATGTGAGTGTGTGCAGTACTTGTGAGTCTGCAGTACATGTGAGTGTCTGCAGTACATGTGAGTGTGTGCAGTACATGCGAGTGTGTGAAGTACTTGTGAGTGTGTGCAGTACTTGTGAGTGTGTGCAGTACTTGTAAGTGTGTGCAGTACTTGTGAGTGTGTGCAGTACTTGTGAGTGTGTGCAGTACTTGTGAGTGTGTAGTACATGTGAGTGTGTGCAGTACTTGTGAGTCTGCAGTACATGTGAGTGTGGGCAGTGCAAATTAACTGCGTTACATTGTTCCTCTTTACTAAACGCACACTTGTCCCTATTACCGCTACGCACATCCTCCTTTTTCATAACCCATTTTCCTCGGCGCGATATTTGTGGCAAAGATTGCAATTCTCTCCACTCATCTCCCCACTCCGTTCCTCTCTTTTCTTGCCTGTTCCTGCTCATACACTGCCTCTCCCTCCCGCTCCCCCCCCTGCCAGCCGATTGAGTCGCAACAACATCTCAGGGGTGCTCCCCACCTCAATGGGGCAGCTCACCAACCTCATTGAATTGTAACCGTTTCATCTAGCCAGCCTCATTGATTGTACCCGTTACATCTAGCCAATCTCATTGAATTGTAACCGTTTCATCTAGCCAGCCTCATTGAACTGTAATCGTTTTATTTAGCCAACCTTATTGAATAGTAAACGTTTCATTTCATCTAGTCAACCTACCCCACTTCATGTTTCTCCCCTCCATTTCCAGTTTCTCTCTTCCTTGCCTTACTCTGCCTACCCGCCTGCGTGCCTCCCTGCCCTCTCCCCTGCACCTCCCACCAGCTCCATCTATCGGAATCCGCTGCTGGAGGGCAAGCTGCCGCCCTGCTGGGCCACCGTTCAGTCCCTCGGAACCCTGTACGCCCCTTCCCCTCGGCACACCTTTCCGCTACTCTCCTCCCCTTCACCTGCTGCCCTGCTGGGCCACCATTCAGTCCCTCGGCACTCCGTATGCCTTACTGCCCTCCCTGCCCCCCCTCCCTGCCTCCCTCCCTGGCCCCTCTGCCCTCTCATGTCCCCCCCCTGCCGTCCCTGACCCCTCCCCTTGTCCTCCCCCTGCCCTCCCCTTATGCGCCTTGCTACCTCATTCGCCACAGCAGTTTGCACTCGCACACACTTTACCTCCTGCACCCCACGTCTCTGTCTCCCCCGCCCTGATCACTGCCCGTCCGCCCGCCGCTGCCCATCCCCACTACCAATCCCACCCCCCTCATCGCTGTCCCTCGTGATTCTGCTTTTGATCTTTTCCCCACCCTGCCGCTATCCCTGTATCTCATGCCATCCTCTCGCTGTCTCTATACCATACCCAGCATCCATCCAACAATCTCCCTCCCTCGTCCCCCTTTCTGCCGCCCAACTGCACGAGCTCACTTCTTCCTCCCTTCCACTCCCCCATTCCACCCCCATCAGCTCCCTGCTGGGTACGAAGCTGCACTGCCCCACATGCCCCGCAGACTCCTGCTGCCCCAGTTCCCACCCACCATCAGTCACCAATCTCCCTCCCTTCTCCTCATTCCCACCCCCCGATACCTTCCACCCCCACCAGCTCCCTGCTGGGCACTAAGCTGTGCTGCCCCGCACGCCCCACCGACTCCTGCTGCCCCAATATCCACCATCGTTCCTCCCTAACTCCGCTCCTCCCTCCTCTCCCTCCCCAATCCACCCCCATTATCTCTCTTCTCGGTACGAAGCTGCGCTGCCCCACACGCCTCACCGACTCCTGCTGCCCCATTTTCCACCATCAGTCCACCAATCTCCCTCCCTTCCCCCCACGCCCCACTCCCCAATCCCACCCACCCCTATCAGCTCCCTGCTTGGCACCAAGCTACGGTGCCCCACCCGCCCTGCCGACTCCTGTGGCCTCAATACCCACCATCCATCCACCGTTCTCTCTCCCGCACCCTCTTTCCCTTCCCCTTCCCACCTTCCTTCTTCCACCCCCACTAGCTCTCTGCTGGGCACCAAGCTGCGCTGCCCCACCCGCCCTGTCGACTCCTGCTGCCGGGCTGCCTTCAGACGACCTGCCCTCTGCTCCCTCCTCTGCCCCGACTTCTGCCAACAATGCAAACCACCCCGTAACCTCTCTCTCCCTGCCAACCACCCCGTAACCCTCTCTCTCGCTGCCAACTACCCTGTAACTGCTTCCTCACCACATCAAACTTCGCCACTCACTGCTCCATCTCCTCTCCTTTCTTCTGTCCTCCTCCCCCCACCACCACCACCCCCCTCCCCTTGTTGCAATCCACCTTCCCCATTCCCCCTGCACTGTCCATCCACCCACCAGTGCTGTCACCAGCAGGCGTAGCAGGCGTGGTGGTGGGGAGTGTGGTGCTGCTGTTGGTGGTGCTTCTCGTATCGCTCTATGTGTGGTACTACTATTGGGGACCCGGCAGCCGCAAGGGTGAGTGGGCCAGGGCGAGTTGGGTGCGATGGTGAGTATGGTGGTGGGGATGTGCATGGTGAGGGCTGTGAGTCGCTGCTGCTGGTGGCGCCACTCGTATTGCTCTACTTGTGTTTATTTCTATTAGGGACCCGGCAGCCGCACGGGTGAGTGGGGTGGGGAGGGTGAGTTGAGGGGTGGGCCTGAGATGGGGGGTGATGAAGGTGAGTAGGGTAGGGGTACAATTGGGATTAGAGTATGAATGGGGTGGGGATTTGAGTTGGGTGAGAATGTGTGCGTGGGGAGAGTGTGAATGGAGTCGGAGAGATTGAGTGCTGCACCCATGTATGGTAAATCAACAACAGCGTGATTTGATGTGCGGAGAGATCCAAAGTGTGCATACAGACAGTAGCACAGATGACATCGCTCATCTCCGCTCCGCTCTCCTCCTCCATTCTGCCTCTCTCTACTCCCTCGCCCTCTCCTCCTCCATCCTACTGTCTCTACTCTCCCATCCTCTCCCTCTCCTCTATCCTCGCGCGCGCTAACTGCGGAGTCACTCTACACTAGTCGTGAGCTAGACTACGGGGTGTTGGCACGAACTCCAGGATTGATAATATTTTTGCTTGTGTTCTTTAGCACTTGCGCATTCACAAGAGGAATCGGCAAGAATTTCCACTAGCAAAGTTGCATTACAGAATGATTGAACATACAATGGAAAGAATGACAGCATCGGGCACCTAAACAACTCTGTAGCTAGCATGGTCGACCGCCTGCCAGCGTTGCGTAGAGGAGCCGCGCCACCACTGCAAAAACGTGGCCTGCCAACACAGCAAGTCGACGGCGTACCAACGTTGCAGCAGAGCGGCTGTCCAGCTTTACATTCGCAAAAGACAGCAGTGCGCACGCTCGCAGGTGCGTGCAGACGATTGGCCGGTCTTGCACTGTTGTGCATCTGTCGGCTGTTGTCTGCGCCTGACGAGCCACATCAACTTCGGGATACCAGCCCGAAGTCGCCTTCGCCATCGCGATCTCGACGACGTTTACGTGCCTCCGCAGAACTCGCCGAGCAGGTTACCTGGTCGACCACCCAGTGCTCTGGTCGACGCCTCCCTCGTCGACCACAGCTCCCATCGACGAACACCTTGCTGGTCCACGGCCCGTCCGTTTTCCACCAGCCCAGTCAGCTGCAGCCGTCGAGCTCCCTGATCGACGACTTTCAGCCCTGCGACAGTCCTGTGCAGGTCGACGACCACCACGTCGACCTGCCCCGCAAAAGGAGGCCGTCGAGCTCCCCTTGTCGACGGCAACACCGCAGTGATCCTCGCTCCCCTGATCGACGACTTTCAGCCCTGCGACAGTCCTGTGCAGGTCGACGACCACCACGTCGACCTGCCCCGAAAGGAGGCCGTCGAGCTCCCCTTGTCGACGGCAACACCGCAGTGATCCTCTGCATCTCGACGAAACCGTCGAGCAGCCTCCCTCACTGCGTTACGGTCGGCTGCTTCTCCCGTACATCCGACCAGGACGTCGGCGTCGCTCCTCACCCTCCCTCCCACCCACTCTGCTCCCTCGCCCTCCGTGCCCCCTGACCTCTCAACCCCCAAACCCTCCTCGTCCCTTCCCCTAGCGTGGAGAGGGAACTCTGCAGCAGGCTTTTCGGAAGTACACGTGGAGGGAGGTGATGGAGGCGACCAACCAGCTGAGCCCCGACAACCTTCTCGGCAAGGGCGGCTTCGGCTCCGTCTACTGGGGCGTCATCGGCGGGGAGCAGCAGCGCAGCGGGTGGAGTGGGGTGTGTGGAAGAGGGCTGAGGCTAGCTGGAAAGCAGCTAGCAGCGGCGCGCACAAGGGGAGTGGGGTGAGCGGAGGGAGGGGACAAGGACGGAGGAGAGTGGCACGAGTGCGGGGAGTGGGGCGAGTAAGGAGAGCAACACGACAGTGCGGGCAGCAGGAACACTGCTTCTGTTGCTCTGTGGACGGCAGTGTCCCAGGGGTGTGGGCGGCGATCCCAAGGTGGGCGGCGGCGTTGTGCGTGTTGGTGGTGGGCGGTGGCATGGAGGTGGCCATAAAGCGAGCAGCTGTTGTGGAGCGATCGTCCAACGTTGCCACCATGTTTGAAGAGGAGGTGCGTGTGCGGTGCGGTGTGATGTGTTGTGGTGTTGTCCCGCGTGGATGGTGTGTGCGTGTGGTGCGGTGGCAAGGAGGTGAGTGTTTTAGCGTGGCGTGGTGTGATGAGGAGGTGCTACTTGGTTGCAATGAGTAAGGCACGGGGGCTAAACAAATGAATTGTATTCTGTATTTTGTTGTATGCATATATCTCATGTGTAAGAAGTCACTAGTCACGATTTAGGTCAGAGCGCATAAAAAGATGACGCACATAGTTTGACTCAATCACCATGTCGACATTCCTTGCAAGCACATGTTGACATTCCATGGAAGCACATGATGACATTCCATGCAAGGATATGTTGATATTCCATACAAGCACATGTTGACATTCCATGCAAGCACATGTTGACATTCCATGCAAGCACATGTTGACATTCCATGCAATTACCATGTTGACATTCCATGCAATTACCATGTTGACATTCCATGCAAACACATATTTCACACATGTGGAACTACCGGGCGGTGTATTCTTTGCTCACTATATGTCGACCAAGTGTCACCATGCCACCAACCCACTACGACCATGCCACCAACCCACTACAACTATGCCACCAGGACCCCACACGCCTGGCAGGTGAAGGCGGTGTCCGAGTTGAGCCACAATTTTGGTGATGCCACCATGCCACCATGCCACTATCTCACCTGGACCACCCCCCCCTCTCACCATTCCACCATGCCACCATGCCACCATGCCACCATGCCACCATGCCACCATGCCACCATGCCCACCACGCCACCCACGCACCACCCCCCATGCCTGGCAGGTGAAGGTGGTGTCCAAGTTGAGCCACAAGAGTAGTGATGTCACTATGCCACCATGCCACTATGTCACCTGGCCCCTTTCCCCTCTCGCCTGGCAGGTGAAGGCGGTGTCCAAGTTGAGCCACAAGAACCTCGTGCGCCTCCTCGGCTACTGCAACGAGAACAACGAGCAGGTGCCGCTCTCTTCCAAAAAATGCCGCCGTCGTCTCCTAAGAAATTTCCTCTTTGTCTCGTAACAGCTGCCGTCCCCGTCCTTTACCACATGGCAGCCTTCTGCCTTTTGAGAATTCTCAGAAGCTCATCTTCTTGTGGAAGCTCACCTTCTTGTGGAAGCTCATCTTCTTGTGGAAGCTCATCTTCTTGTGGAAGCTCATCTTCTTGTGGAAGCTCATCTTCTTGTGGAAGCTCATCTTCTTGTGGAAGCTCATCTTCTTGTGGAAGCTCATCTTCTTGTGGAAGCTCATCTTCTTGTGGAAGCTCATCTTCTTGTGGAAGCTCATCTTCTTGTGGAAGCTCATCTTCTTGTGGAAGCTCATCTTCTTGTGGAAGCTCATTTTCTTGTGGAAGCTCATCTTCTTGTGGAAGACTTGTGTTGCTGGGCGGCAGTGGGTCTAATACTGCATGTCCCCGCAGCTGCATGTGCGCAACTGCACGTCCCTCCCCACCCTCCCTCCCCACCGGCAGGTGCTGGTTTTCGAGTATGGGCGCAACGGCGACTGAGCGACAACATGTATGCGAAGTGCCACGGGCGGGCACCTGTTTCACGCATTCCCACCCACCCCCCCACCCTTCCCCTTTCCCCCTCCTCCGCTCTCTTCCCAGGTGTTGGTATACGAGTATGTGCGCAACGGCGACATCAGCGACCATCTGTACGCGCAGTACCGCGGGCACCTGCTGACCTTTGAGGAGCGGCTGGATGCGGCGCTGGGGCTTGCAGAGGGGCTCAAGTACCTGCACTATCATGCAGAGAAGCCCATTGTGCATCGTGACATCAAGCCCTGCAACGTGCTACTCACAGAGGACTACCAGGTGGGTGAAATGCGGTAACAAAGGGTATCACAAGGTGCCAGTGAGAGGGGCTCAAGTACCTGCATTATCATGCAGAGAAGCCTATTGTGCATCGTGACATCAAGCCCTGCAACGTGCTACTTACTGATGACTATCAGGTGCGTGTCATGCCAAGGCGCCAGTCACAGTAAGGGATTGGCGGGCCCAAGTACCTGCAATATCATGCTGAGAAGCCCATTGTGCACTGCGATATCAAGCCCTGCAACGTTCTGCTCACAGAGGACTATCAGGTGCGTGTCATGCCAAGGCGCCAGTCACAGTAAGGGCTGGCAGAGGGGCTCAAGTTGTTAGAAAACCTCTATTCTATTCATCCTGCATATGCTAGTTCGCTTGTCTAGAGTTAAGCACCCAAACTTAGTTTGGGTGTACAAACAGGAGTAACCCAGTTTGTAGGTTGGAACCCAACCTTGGTCCAATTATTGGACCCCAAAAGGTTGGGTTGGGTAGAATTATTGGTCCCCTCCAATAATGTTGGCCCAACCCCAACTTGGCCAACATTATTGGACCCCGCCAATAATCACCCAAACCCAACTTCTTGGTTGGGGTCCAATAATGCCAACCTAGGTTAGCATCCAACCCCCTACTATGTATACCCTCGTCATTCTCAATCCAAGCATCAACTTCTTTTAGTTCTCAAGTCATCCTTCACATGATTCTAACATGGTATCAGAGCGATTTTGGCTCACGCCCTTCACGATCCTAGGACCATGTGTCCTGCGTGTACTTCCACGCGATTTCGCGGCGGTTTCGGTGCCGTCCGCCGAATCACGACCATCGAGGCCGTCGCGACCAGCAGCCGCGCGGACTCAATTTTAAGGCGATTTCAGCGCCCTCCGTCCGCTCCCGTCAATTTCGCCCTCACGCCTAACAGCGCCTCTCTCCCATCGCCTCCGCCCTCGCGCCTAACGGCGCCCCGCTCCCGTCGCCTCCGCCCTCGCGCTCTTCGCTGCCACGGCAGTAACATCGCCGCCGTCTGCGCCTCCCCCAAGCCGCGGCCATTCCGCCGCCGCCGCCTCCTCCCCTCGCCGCCGCGGCCATTTCGCCGCCATCCTGCCCTCCCTTCCCCCTCGTTTCCTACCCCTTAAGGGCCATCCCGCCCTCCTTCCCCCTCGCTTCCTCCTCCTACGGGCCATCCCGCCCTCCTTCCCCCTCATTTCCTCCTCCTTAAGGGCCATTCCGCCCTCCTTCCCCCTCGCTTCCTCCTCCTAAGGGCCATCCCGCCCTCCTTCCCCCTCGCTTCCTCCTCCTTAAGGGCCATCCCGCCCTCCTTCCCCCTCGCTTCCTCCTCCTAAGGGCCATCCCGCCCTCCTCCCCCCCTCGCTTCCTCCTCCTAAGGGCCATCCCGCCCTCCTTCCCCCTCGCTTCCACCTCCTAAGGGCCATCCCGCCCTCCTTCCCCTCGCTTCCACCTCCTAAGTGCCATCCCGCCCTCCTTCCCCCTCGCTTCCTCCTCCTAAGGGCCATCCCGCCCTCCTTCCCCCTCGCTTCCACCTCCTAAGGGCCATCCCGCCCTCCTCCCCCCTCGCTTCCTCTTCCTAAGGGCCATCCCGCCCTCCTTCCCCCTCGCAGCCGCGACTCTCCCGCTGCCACCGCCGCCGCCGCCGCAGCTCTCCCGCTGCCGCCGCCGTCTCCCTTCCGCCGCCGCAGCCCCTTTCCTTCAGCTTCTCTGCCTGGCATCGCGTTCATGCTTCAGGGGTTGCCCCGTCTCTCATTCAAGCCTCCTAGCCCTATGCAGGCTAAGGGGTTGTGTTAGAAAACCTCTATTCTATTCATCCTGCATATGCTAGTTCGCTTGTCTAGAGTTAAGCACCCAAACTTAGTTTGGGTGTACAAACAGGAGTAACCCAGTTTGTAGGTTGGAACCCAACCTTGGTCCAATTATTGGACCCCAAAAGGTTGGGTTGGGTAGAATTATTGGTCCCCTCCAATAATGTTGGCCCAACCCCAACTTGGCCAACATTATTGGACCCCGCCAATAATCACCCAAACCCAACTTCTTGGTTGGGGTCCAATAATGCCAACCTAGGTTAGCATCCAACCCCCTACTATGTATACCCTCGTCATTCTCAATCCAAGCATCAACTTCTTTCAGTTCTCAAGTCATCCTTCACAGGATTCTAACACAAGTACCTGCAATTTCATGCTGAGAAGCCCATTGTGCACCGCGACATCAAGCCCTGCAACGTGCTGCTCACAGAGGAGTATCAGGTGGGTGGAATGCTGTAACACAGGGTATCACACGATGCCAGTCGGAGGGGCTCAAGTACCTGCACTATTATGCAGAGAAGCCCATCGTGCACCGCGACATCAAGCTGTGCAACGTGCTGCTCGCAGAGGAGTATCAGGTGGGTGGAATGCGGTAACAGGGTAACACACAATGCCAGTTAGAGGGGCTCAAGTACCTGCATTATCATGCAGAGAAGCCGATCGTGCACCGCGACATCAAGCCCTGGAATGGGCTGCTCACAGAGGACTACCAGGTGGGTGGAATGCGGTAACGCAGGATATCACAAGATGCCATGTCATACTATTATCAGGCGCGTGTCATGCTGAGCTGAGGTGCGTGGAGGGCAGTTAGACTCTGCCACGTGTCAGCATGTCACGCCACGGTAGAGAGGATCGCAGCACTGACATGAACCATGGCTGTAGGATATAAGGGCTCGTGTTTATGTCACCTTTTTCCAGTTACGGTAGAAGCAGCTGCTCTTGATGTCCATCGTCCCGTGCTTGCCCTTCCAGCCCCATTGCCCTGCTTGGCATCACAGCATCACTAGGCAATGCACATGCAACCACTTCCCCATACCCTCTTCAACCCTGTAACCACCTTCCTGTCCACCTTCCTGTCCACCTTCCTGTCCACCTTCCTGATCACCTTCCTGAGCACCTTCCTGAGCACCTTCCAGAGCACCTTCCTAACCACCTCCCTTGCAGGTGAAGATCACTCAATTTTCCTTTTCCGCCCTCCATTCCCCAACCACCCTCTGCACCACCTCCCTTGCTGCCATGCAGGTGAAGATTGCCGACTTTGGGTTGATACAGTCGCTGCAGGAAGGCGCGGAGCAGAAACCTCGAGTTCACTTGCAACCACTCCCCCCGCCCCATTTTCAACCACGCCCCTTGCATTGCAGGTGAAGATAGCCGACTTTGGGCTGATTCGGTCGCTGCAGGAGGGGGGCGGAGCAGAGACCTCGAGTCAATCACGTGCAACCACTCCCCCCGCCCCATTGTCAACCACGTCCCTTCCTTTACAGGTGAAGATTGCCGACTTTGGTTTGATACGGTCACTGCAGGAGGGCGCGGAGCAGGAGGGCACGTTCACGCGTGTGGCGGGCACGAGGGGGTACCTGGACCCCGAGTACATGACGTGTGAGAAGCTCTCCACGGCTAGTGATGTGTACAGGTGGGTGTGGGTGTGTGTGGGTGGTGCTTGTGGGTGTGGGGCGACCAAGGCGGGCACGAGGGGGTATCTGGACCCAAGTACATGACGTGTGAGAAGCTCTCTACTGCAAGCGATGTTTACAGGTGAGTGTGTGGTTGATTGTATCGGTACGTGTGTGCGATGTGTACAGGTGGGTGTGTGAGTCGATGTGAGGTTAAAGGGGGCACACGAGGGGTTATTTGGACCCCGAGTACATGACTGTCAACAGTAAGCGATGTGTCCAGGTGGACGTGTGTGTGTGTGTGCATGTGTGTGTGTGTGTGTGTGTGTGTGTGTGCGTGTGTGTGTGTGTGTGTGTGGGGGGGGGTGTGGGTGTGTATGTGGATGTGGTGCGTGTGTGCATGTGAGTGTGTGTGCGTGGGTGTGGTTGTGTGCGTGGGTGTGTGCGGGTCGGTGTGGTGTGGGTGTGTGCGTGGGGGTGCGTGTGGGTGCAAGTGTGTGTGCGTGCGTGTGTGGGTGTGTGTGGGTCTCTCCTCCACATCTCTCCACGTTTCTCGAAATCTATTGGCGTTCCTCCTTATCTCTCCGCATCTCTCCTTATCTCTCCGCATCTCTACCCACCAGCTACGGCGTACTGCTACTGGAGATGGTGACGGGGTGACCAGCCACGGCTGGAATATTGAGTTGACTCAAGAGGTACCCATCATCCCCTCGTGTGTGTCTTTCATACCCACACCTTGCTCTCTCTCTCACCCCACATGACCCGCCCACCAGCTACGGTGTGCTGCTACTCGAGATGGTGGTGACTCGGCAGGCAGCCACAGCCACAAGTCACCTCATCCCGTCCTTGCACGCTCCCTCGCATCCCCATGCCCTACCCGCTCCCTCTCGTCCCACATGTCCCGCCCTCCAGCTACGGAGTGTTGCTGCTGGAGATGGTGACGGGGCGGCCAGCCACAGAGAGCGACCCGAACGACCAGAGCTGCCTCAGGCACATCACCTCCTGGGTGAGCTGTCACGTCCACATCACCTCCTGGGTGAGCTGTCACGTCCACGTCAGCACATGGATGAGCTGCCATGTCCACGTCAGCACATGGATGAGCTGTCATGTCCACATCAGCGCACGGATGAGCTGTCACACAATGTATGGCTGTGAGATGATTGCAGAGAGCAGCAACACCGAGCACGAGAAGATTCAAATCATCCACTATCTCGTTTTCCCCCACACCTCCCGTCTCTCTCCCGTCTACCAGGCGGTGCCATACATCAATCGTGGGGAGATCCGAGAGATAGCCGACACACGCATCGCCTCACCTCGCCTCACCTCGTCTTTGTGTCGCCTTACCTGTCGTGCCGTTCTCCTACTCTCCTTCAACCCCTTTTCCCCCGTCCACCAGGCGGTGCCGCACATCAATCGTGGGGAGATCCGGGTGATAGCCGATGCGCGCATCGCCTCGCCTCGCCTCTCTGTCACCACACCTGTTGTGCCTCCCTTACCCAAACACCCCCCGTTCTCAACCACCCCCCCACCCCCCTTTCCCCCAGGCGGTGCCATACATAGAGAGCGGGGAGATCCGCGTGATAGCGGACGCGCGCATCGCGTCGCCGCTGAACCTGCCCTTTCTGCTGCGCATGGCTCGCACCGCCGCCCTCTGCGTGCACCTGCCGTCCACACGCCGCCCCGACATGGCTGACGTGGCACGCGTCATGCTGGACGCCCGCCGCACCTTCCATGCCGCTGCCGCCGCCGCTGCTGCCGGCGCGGTTGCTCTCGCTGCCGCTGGCGGTGCTGCCGGTGTGGGGAGGAGTGGGCTTGTGGGTGCCAGCGGCAGGGCGTTGGGGAGTGAGAGCATGAAGAGATGGGTGCATTACTTTGGCGGCGGGGGGGGAGGGCGGAGCAGGCAAGCCATTGAGATCCTCGAAGAGATTGACCCAGAAGGCATGGTGCCCTCCAGGGAAGGGGGAGACGCTAGTAGCCCTGTGGAGCCTGACGATGGGTATGCGGTTACCACTGGAAATTCGAAAACGAGTGACTCTGCTGGTGGAAACAGAGATGTACCATGAGCGGGGAGCCACAAGCCTTGTGCGCGTGTCTAGCAATTGATGTGCACTAGAGTCTGTTCTGCCAGCTTCCGCAATGCTGGTTGGAGTGCGTTCAATGCTGATCCACAACCCTTGGGACACCCTGAAAATCAGGGTATCCGGATGTTTTACCCTGATATTGTGGGGACTGCTTCAATTCAATACTCTCTTCTATCTGGGCGCTTAAGAACAGGGCCCACGTTATCAGGGCAAAACATCCTGATTACCTTGAATTTAGGATGCAGTTCTGTATTTACCAGGCCCCCAGAAGTCAGAGAAATTTCTCTGATTTGCATGAAAAACTCTGAGAATTCAGAATTTTTTTAAAGTGAGGTCTGTTAAAAACAGAGATTTTTGGGCCCCAACTCTGTAATTTTCAGAGAAATTTTAGAGCTAACTCTGACGTTTCAGAGTTTCCCTGGAGTGTACTCTGATCACTCCGAGTACAAACGCGCACCTACTCCGTTGTCTGCTTGTATTCTTGACTGGTGATTCGGTTCGGACTTTACAGGTCAATGCAAAATCGGCTTGAAACTGCAAATCCGCGCCTTACAGCACAAACAAGATTTTCGCCCAATCATAGCAAAATCGCCCTGACACAACAGATTTGCGCTGTCCGAGTGTCAGGAGGAGGAGACGGCAGCAGCTGCTGCTGCTGCTGCAGCTGCTGCTGCGGCTGCTGCTGCTCCTGCTGCTGCTCCTGCTGCTGTCGCTCCTGCTCCTCGAGCCGCTGCAACTCTCTCTCCTCTCTCTCCAACTCCAGCTGCTCCTCACGAGCACGGCGAACACGAGCCTGGAACCTGGTCGGGTAGGGGTGGGGGGAAGGAGTAGTGTCCGGGGCAGCGGCAGCCCCAGAGTCGACCTCCGAAGCACCAAGCACACCACCCCCAGAGGCAGCACCAACACCAGCTCCAGACCCAGGCTCTCCAGAAACCGAAGGGACACCCTCACCCCCAGACGCAGCACCCCCAGACTCCTTACCAGCACCCCCAGACTCCGCACGACCAGTACCAGCCCCCGGAAGACAAGAGTCCTCTGCAACCCGCGGCTCAGCTCCAACTCCAGCACCCCCAGAACCAGAGACCTGTACAGGGACAGTCGCAGGACCAACCTCTCGAGAGGGAGCACCTGCAGGAGGCGGCGAGGAAGACTGTGGGGAGGGAGGCTGTACAGGGGGGGCTACCGAAGGGGGAGGGCTAGCCTGAGACACACCAGACGGGGCTGGACCAGGGGGGGGAGGCTGTACCGGGGGAGCAGGCGGGGGAGCGGCGGTCAGGAAGAGAGGGGGGGGAGGGACCGGGAGACCTCGACTGGGGTACCTGACGTAGTAGGGGGTGGACTCCTCGAAACGGACGTCACGGGAGTCAAAGAACCGGTGAGAGGGAGGGTGGTAAAAGGTGAAGTCAGAGGAGTCCTCAGGGAAACCAAGGAAGACACAAGGAACGGCGCGAGGCGAGAGCTTGTCCGCGGAGGTGTCGCGGACAAGAGCCAAGCACCCCCAGACACGAAACCTCGACGCGACACCAGGGGACCCTGTCCAAAGACTGGTCGGTGAAGCCTCCGGCCGAGAGACGCGTGGCCAGAGGTTCAGCTGGTGCGCGGCGTACCTGACCGCGTATGGCCACAGGAAATGGGGGGCACGGGCGTGAGTCAAGGAGGTGCGGGCAATCTCCATGACCAGGCCTATGCGACGCTCAGCAACCCCATTCTGCTGTGGGGACTCCGGAAGCGTCCAGGACTGACGAATGCCCTGTTCGCGACAGAATCCAGCGAGAATGCCGGAGCGAAACTCGCCCCCGCGGTCGGAGTGGAGACAGCTGACACGACGACCACGAGTGTCCTGGGTGGTAAGCAACCACCTGATCAGCGTAGAAGTCACCTCAGACTTCCTCGCCAGGGGGAACACTGTGGTGTAGCGGGAGTAGTCGTCAACGACCACCAAAAAGAAACGAGGTTCCTCCGTCTAGTCCGGTCGCTGCGTCGTGCTCCTGTCGGTCGCTTGCCCACCCCACCGTTTTGTGGCACCACCGGCTGGGGCACCCTTCTCCTCCTCGTCTTCGCGCTATGTCTCGTCAGCGTCTTGTCTTAGGTCTCCCGCGTGTCTTGCCGTCGCTGCCGCCGTCCCTTGCACCACCGTGCGGTCCTTGCGTCGAGGGTAGGCTGCGCGCCACCCCTCACTCCTCCTCCCTTCGTCCGGCCACCGAGCCTTTTGAGACGCTGCACTTGGACGTCTGGGGCCCCTCTCCTCGCCCTGGCCCTGCACTCGAACGGGAGGCAAAACAGGGGCCGGGGGTAGGAGGGGCGGCTGTGGCTGCGGCTGCGGCTGCTGCTGCTGCTGCTGCTGCTGCGCTGCTGCTGCTGCTGCTGCTGCTGCGGCTGCTGCTGCTGCTGCAGTCGCTGCTGAGCGCGCGGGCGAGTGTGAAGAGTGTAGAGACCGGAGCCCGGCTCAGCAGCAAAAGTGGCGAGGGGCTGGTAAGAGTCCCCGTCAACACACACCGCAGTCTCTCCAGAAGGCTCAAACCACACACCCACGTGCTGACTCACGAGGGGTCGCACGCCCACCAAGTTCCGGGAGAACGAGGGGACGTGAAACCCAGTGAGAGACCCAGAAGGAGCAGCCGGACACGGCAAGGTGGTAGTGTGACGCGCGGTGACTGGTCCCGAAGTGGGATCAGCCAGCGCCACAGAAACAGGCGCAGGAAGAGGCGTAAGTGTCGTGCTGTCACGAAAGAAGCAGTGAGAAGCTCCAGAGTCCAGCGTGAACGACAGCGAACCGTCCTCTGAGGTAGCCGCTGGACTAGAGTCTACACAAGAACCTACACTAGCAACAGGCAACTGAGCAAGGCTAGCACCTAAGCTAACAACACCAGAGTAAGCAGAGTCAGAAACACTAGAGTCAACAACAGCATACATAGCATGGGGAGTACCAATGAGATCAACTAACTGCTCAGCAGACATGCCCCACAGAGCGGAGCCGTAGCGCTGAACAAGAGGCAGCCAGTCAGGGGCAGGAGCACCAACCCCGTAGACCAAACGAACCGTGTCAGTGAGCTGAGCAAAGCACTGACCAGGGGGGTGAAACCGGCCACAAGGGTGGCCACGACGAGGGCCTGTCAGAACCTGGTAGGTGCAGGGAGTGTAAGCAGCACCGCGCTGGGTCTGACGCAGCCCCGACCCTGGAGCCAGCTGCTGCCGCTGCTGCTGCTGAGGCTGCTGGGAGGAGAGGGGCTGCTGGTGCTGCAGAAGCTGCTGCTGACGCTGAGCCTGGTACCACGCCGCTGCTCCACCAACCGGGGCAGGAAGTACAGGAGGCGACTGACGAACTCGGGCGTCGCCACCACCAGCAGGCGCAGTGGAGTCACCAGTCACTGCACGAGGCGCCTCTCCAGGCCCTGAACCTCCACCGCCGCCAGGCGCAACGCCACCTCCACTACCTCCGCCTCCACCTCCACTACCACCACCAGAACCGCCTTTCTTGCCACTCCTACCGCGGGACCGCGACGCAGTCGTAACAGCAGCTGCAGTCGCGTCAGTAGCGGCAGTGGCAAGTGAGGCAGTAAAGGTGGGTAACTGCGGGACTGTGCACCCGTGGAAGAGTGGGGGGGGCACAGCACCAGAGGCAGCGGCTACCGAGCGAAGGTTGCTCTCGACGTCCTTGAGTGCAGACTCAAGGACCTCGACGGTGAGCTCACTAGGGTGCTTCAGCAGAAGCGCGTCGCGAACGGAGGCAAGGCGGTCAGGGAGGCTAGTGGCGATGAAATAGATAGTAATCGCCATAGGGGGAGGAAGCAGTGCAAGCTGTGCCTCAGTGCAAGCAGCGCGGTAACTAGCGTCGAGCGAGCGGAGGTGAGCGATCAAGTCAGCAGAGCGCTCAAAAGACGCTAGGTCAGGAAACAGGAACGGGAGGAACAGGCGGCCAAGAGAGACAGCAGCGGGAGTAGAGTAGCGGGCCTTAATCGCAGTGAGGTACGCAGCAGCGGTGCGAACCTGAGTGAAGTGAACCTCCTCAGACTCAGGGAGGAGGCTGCTGAGCGCGATGCAGGCCGCAGCGTCACGTGACGTCCAAGCCGTCTGGTCAGCTCGCTGAGTGGCAAAGCGGGCTCTAGCGGCGTCGTCAGGGGCAGGTCCTAAAGGCGTAGGGTCGGGGGGCGCAGGTAGGGCACCAGTAGCGTGCGCCCAGAGGGTCTCGCCTGCCTGGACCTGACTCTCTAACAGGCGGCGAGCGCGAAGAAGCCAGACTGGGAAATCGAGCGGGCGACCGTCAGCATCGAAACGAAGGACGCGAGGGGTCGCCATAGTGTGCAAACGGAATTGGCAGGGAAAGCAGGGCGCAGCGGCAAGGGAGAACGGGCAGGAAGAGCGGGCAAGAGCGGGCGGGTAGGTCAGGTGTGGCGGGCGCGCGGGTAGGGCAAAGGCGCCGGGCCTGGGCGACGGGCTAGGGCGCGAGCCAGGGCGACGGGCTAGGGCGCGAGCTGGGGAGACGGGCTGGGGCGCGGGCCAGGGCGACGGATCGACGGGCAGCAGGGGGAAACGCGGGTCGACAGGCAGCGGGGGGAAGCGCGGGTCGACGGGCAGCGGGGGGAAGCGCGGGTCGACGGGCAGCGGGGGGAAGCGCGGGTCGACGGGCAGCGGGGGGAAGCGCGGGTCGACGGGCAGCGGGGGGAAGCGCGGGTCGACGGGCAGCGGGGGGAAGCGCGGGTCGACGGGCAGCGGGGGGAAGCGCGGGTCGACGGGCAGCGGGGGGAAGCGCGGTTCGACGGGCAGCGTGGGGGGGGGGGGGGGGAAGCGCGGTTCGACGGCAGCGGGGGGGAAGCGCGCCTCGACGGGGATCAGAGGGGGAAAGCGCAGCGCGACCGGCAGCGGTACGCTAGATCGGGCTACGCTAGATCGGGAGGAAGAACGAGCGGTAACGAACGAACGGGACTAGATCGGGCCGGCACTAGGCTCGGGCAAGACGGGCGAAACGAGAGCTAGGATCAGGCTCGGGTGGTACGATCGGAGAACGGAGAAACGGGATCCCACAGGATCCTAACCTAACTGATACCATGTCAGAATGAGGAATGAATGATCCATTGATGTTGGTTGGGGTACATATAGCTAACCCTAAGTTTTGTACCCCCTAAGACAAACCTCACTATAGGCTACAACATTTGACACCGAGAACAATGATTTCGACCAATCACCAAGAACTTCCACCTGACATTGCAGATTCGCCCTTTCACATCACAAGATTCGCCCTGATTCGCCAAGATTCCAGGGCCTGCATCCGCGTGCGGCCCTGGTGGGAACCCGGTTCCACCAGGAGGGGGACCTGGTGGAAACCCTCCCACCAGGGCCCGGATGGACTGACTCAGAAATTCGCCCTGTCGGGGCATGTTCTCCCGAAAATCCCCTTAGTCTAGCATGTTTCAGTATTAGATGAAGCATTGAATACATTTCTGCTGAAACATTAGATACATTGATGTTTCAGACTTTTTTATTAAGGCACTCTGAGATTTCAGCCTTTTTTTTATACCAACTCTGAGGGGTTCAGACTAAAATTGTGTACTAGTCTGATGAATCAGACAGGCCAAAAACGAATCTGAGGGCCTGGTATTTACCCTGCAATTTCAGAATAGTCACAATTTCAGACGCGGATTTGGGGGGGGGGGGGGGGGGGGGTCCGTTTCGGGGGAAATTTTTTCCCCGAGGATTTTTGTCTCCGTTGAAATTTTCTCCCGTGTATGTTTCCCTCCTTCGCACGATCACTTCCGATTCCCCGCAACACCAGCCAAGCCAAACCCATCACCCACCGCCAAGGCAACTCGTCCTGTGCCTGGCTAGCACTAGCTGGGTTTCTCACGCTGGCTAAAATCAGAACCCTGAACACTATCATTTTTGCCCTGATAGGTCAGGATTAGTTTCCGCTGCAGCCCTGACCAATCAGGAAGGCTCTGAAGATTTGCCCTGAGAAATCAGGGCATTTTTAAAGATTCTAGAAAAGTGCCCTGAAGGCTCAGGGTGCCCCAAATCCTAGCACGGGCCCTGCTTAAGAAAGTTTAAAAAAACACGTGTCACATAATATATGAACTCAAGCCGAATGTAATAATTTTGGCAATTTGTGACCACCCCCCATTAAAATAATAATAATAATAAAGATAGCAGCACCCTAACCTAAGGTGTTACATCCGGGGGAATACGACATTCCCGATGTATCCACCAACTCATTCACTTGTTTACGAGCAGTCTACATGCCGCAACATAGACGCAGAGTTTCTCAATGTCGTAAAGTGCCTCCTAAAGCATGGCATAAAAGGCTCATTTTGTAACCGTTGCACACCCGCTGCAGCACTCCTAACTCGCCCTGAGGGAGAGGCATTGAAGATGGATGACCATACCCAGACGACACGACACCATGCCACATCACACCTCACCTCGCCTCATGTCACCAGACCACACCACAACACACCTCATCTCACCACACCACACCACACTGCACCTCACCTTGCAAGTGCATCGAGTTCATTATCATAAGCCAGGTGTTCAGTGCCACAGAGTGCCTCCTAAAACATGTTATTAAGCGCTTGGATCTCTGCCTGCAGACTTCTGGTCGGTCTCGCAAAAATCCGTTTCTCGTCCACCTCGGAGTCCACCTGCAGTGCGGCGCTCGACTCGTCCCTCCCCGCCACCTCGTTCCGCACGGCCAGCAGCTCATTGGCGATGTCTGCCATGCTCGGCCGGCTCGCTGTACGGTCCCCGGTGCACTGGACTGCGAGCTCAGCCAGTCGCAGCATGGCGTCTTCAGGAGCTTCCATGGAAGGGTCCTTGAGGTCGCCCTTGGTGCCCGCAGCCATGCACGCCTTCGCCTGGAGCATGGCACGGGGGTTGGGATAGAGTGAGAGGGCACTCGCAGCACAGCGTCTTCAGGAGCTTCCATGGACGGGTCCTTGAGGTCGCCCTTAATGCCCGCAGCCATGCACGCCTTCGCCTGGAGCATGGGGATGGGGATGAGGCTCGGGGCATGGGGTTGGGCATAAGCATGGACCACGGGGTTGGGGATGAGCGAGAGGTATCCGCAGGTGCATTTTGAACCAACAATAAAGTAGAATCAAGTGGCGAGCGTAGCCAGCTATAACAAGCATGAAGACAGAAACAGGTGCCAGTCCGTGCTAATCAGAGGGCGTACCATTTACGTACCCACTTGAGGATGTGTGTGGCGTCCCCCTGAATGTCAAAAGTTGGAGGGCGGCCGGAGAGAACCACAAGGATGAGCACTCCGAAGCTGCATGGGAGGGGGGGAGTCACCATAGGAGGGGGGAAGGCACCATTCTTAGCCCAATAAGCTCTGAATTGCACTGAGCGATGGCTCGGATGTAACATACAGCAACCACAGAGTAGCTCAAGTTTTGGCCATTTGAAAAAAACATGAAAGGAGGCAAGCGAACACATGAAGAGTGCTTGGGTTTTGATTGACGCGCCTCAGAAAAGACATGGAAAGGAGCCTGGCTCCTTGGCTGCATGTGTACGCATGCCAAGTCATACACCCTGGTGCTTGCAACCCACAACCCATGGAGTGGAGTGCAGCCTATGTACACATGGGTGCATCATGGTACACACACACGCGTACACCATGCTACACATGTCGACTTTTTTCACTTTTTGATCAAGTGAACAGCCTCTCACCTGTACACATCAGTGGCAGTGGTGGCCTTAGAGGTTGTTGAGTAGGTAGGGTCCACATAGCCCGGGGTGCCCATCACTCGAGTGGATCCCACTCTCGTGCCCTCCTCAACCCGTGCCAGCCCAAAGTCAGCTACTTTGGCCTGCGGAATGCGAGGTAATATTTGATAGGTTATAGTAGATGAAAAATGGTTGTGTCTAAATAATATTTGAAATTAAGAAATGATATAGCAAGGAGAACAAACAACCTACTACACTGGTAACTTGCCAATCACATCGTTTGATCCAGGTGGTTGAGGTAATTGTTCTCTGAGGAGTGACTGTGAATGTCAGGTCACGCTTCACGCGAAAATAAACGATTCCAGATATTTTTTGTACAAATATGTATAAAAAGTGGTGCCATATCCTTTGATGAATGTTACTAGTTGCGAATCTGCACACGAACTCTCAAATGCACCCCTCCATGCTATCGTCCCTGAGTGCGGCACAGTGAGCGTGGTATCAACCGCTCATTATCACAACGCATTGTGCTGAGCTGCACTGGATACACTGTGGATGCGCCTACAAGCTTGCCTGTATACCAGTTCTGCAGAGTGTTTGGAGAGTTATGAATAAGCACTGGAGCTTGTTTGCATGCAGATTTTGCAGGGAGGTTTCGAGACTGATAAGAGAAGCGCAGGAGCGAGCTTGCCTGCATGTCATGGGTGATGAGAATGTTGGCGGGCTTGATGTCGCGATGCACGATGCCAAAGCTGTGCAGATACTCCAGCCCGCGTGCTGCTCCTGTTAGAATGCCCAGCCGCTGTGTCAGAGTCAGCTGGAAGGGCGCCTCTGCACACAGCAGGCGAGCAGCCGCAAACACACCATGAATAAATCCCTGTAGGAGAGCTTTTGAAGTGACTTAACAGAGAGCCGTGGCAGAGACGACGCCCAAAAAGCAGTAGCGACAGACAGACGCAGCATGAATCCCGGTAAGAAAAGTGCTGAGATGACTTTTAAAGCGAGGGTGCACATTTGTCACCCGAAACCCTGAACCCTGGCGAACAGTTACTGAGGAGGAAAAGTGTCCGCACGAAATCCAGGTTTTCGCCAGCCAACACCTTCGCGCTGGCAAGCCTGGTTCAGAATAAAATCTTCTGAACCTCCGCCTGTCAAATCTGGACCCTCGTTTTAAGGGGCCTCAAAAGGATGGTTTGGTGGTTTTTTATTACCTTCCCCAAGGACGCTTGACTAGTTCACCAGAGAGGCAAGGCCATACATACCCTCGCCGAGCCAGTGCTGCAGGTCCCCGTTGGGCACGAACTCATAGATGAGCACCTGCTCTGGGCGTGTGCGCACGTCCCCCCCCACCGCGTAGCCCAGCAGGCGCACGATGTTGGGGTGGTTCTTGTCCGCCATCTGCCGCACCTGCAGGAGGGAGGCGGGGAGGTGGGGAGGAGGGGTACATTCCAAACCCACAAGACAGATATTTAAACCCGCGACAATGAGCCTGGCTCGCTTCTCACCGCGTAGCCCAGCAGGCAGATCTTGTTGGGGTGGTTCTTGTCCGCCATCTGCTGCACCTGAAGAGGGGAGGCGGGGAGGGATGGGAACCGGTTTGGGTCGACTCAAAACACACACAGGCGCACGATGTTGGGGTGGTTCTTGTCAGCCATCTGCCGCACCTGTTGGAGGGAGGCGGAGAGGGGGGGTACATTCCAAACCCATCTGCTGCACCTGACGTAGGAAAGTGGGAAGAGAAGGCCAGAAGAAACTTTTACTCTCAACATCAGTTGCTGCTGCCACGCACAGTCATGGCATGTAACCGGGCCCCCCTTGCACGACGTTGGGATGGTTCTTGTCCGCCATCTTCCGCTCCTGCGAGTGGTGGGATGGAGTGAGAGAGGGAGGGAGGGAGGGAGGGAGGGAGGGAGGGAGGGAGGGAGGGAGGGACGGAGGGAGGGAGGGAGGTAGGGAGAGGGGGAGGGAGGAAGGGAGGAAGGGGGCGAGGAAGGAAGGACCCATGACAACATGTGGGAAGTGGGCCACCTTAAGAGGTGTTAGTGTTAGTCTTCAATCTCACAATTTGTACTTTGTATTTTCTATATCCTAGAGTAGTGTAGTTTGCACATTGTGTTTGGTTGGGTGTACACCTACATCCCAACCAAACCCAAATGTAATCTCCAACCAATCTCCAACCCACCAATTGGAGATTGCCTTGGGATTACCCCCAATCCCTAGAGATTGCCCCCGATTCCCTTCCCCATCCTTTTCCTACCCCTCTTGGATGTACTTAAAGAGCTTCAAGCTCATTACTAATGCATCGCTTCTAAGCCTATTTCTGACATGGTATCAGAGCCCTTCAACCGCATACGCGGATCGTGATCCTCCCTTCTCTGCGGATACTCGTCCCGCAAACCTCGGCGAAGCCATCGTCAACCTCGTCGCCGGTGATTCGCGACATTCGTCGGCGGAATTTCTCCCGCTACACCTTCCCGTCACCTTCGGCGGAAATTTCTCTGGTAAGCGCATCGTCGGCGCTGTAACCTAACGCTCGTTTTCATCGACTATCAATTCGTCACTTGTTCTTCTCGTCGGGCCGCCGCCCGTCGCCCCGCAGCTTCTCGTCGGGCCGCCGCCCGTCGCCCCGCATCTGCACTTCTACCCCCATCCCCCCCGTTTCCCGCAGCTGAACTGGTGCAGCAGCGCAGCCGAGCAGCAGCGTAGCCGCGAAGCAGAGCAGCCGTGTAGCCGCGAAGCCGAGCAGCAGCGCAGCCGCGAAGCTGAGGGTGGTGTGTGGGGGGGTGTGTGGGATTAGGGTTAGTTCTATCAAAATCGGCCGATTCGACCTAATTTCGACGGCCTGAAAATTCCTTCTACGAGGCAATTCGACGCGGCCGACATTGACGTTTTTTGCCTTTCGCATCCGTCGGATTTCGAAATCGCCGCGCTGCGCGCCGCTCATTTAAGTTTTCGAAGTTCCTATCGGTGACTTAAGAGCGGCGCTCCGCGTGAGAAGTTAAGGGGTCTCCACCATGGCTCTCTCGTCTTCCACCATGGCCAACCCCATCACCCCGCTCCGCCTTGAAGCTGATGGCTCTAGCTCCAACTTCAAGGCATGGAGCTACGGAGTTGACAAGCACCTCCTGAGCCGTGACGTGCAGGGCCTTGACCTCAAGGACGTCCTCCTCAACCGTGGCAAGGGGAAGCAGCCTACTCTCCCCCGTGAGCCGACCGAATCCGCAAGTGACACTGACGTGAGGGCGTACGAGGAAGCTGTTGAGAAGTACCGGAAATGGGAGAAGGCCGATGCTGCCATCATCAGCGTCTTCATCGCCTCCACCCCTCCCGAACTTGTCAACACGTTCCATAACTACCCTACCTCCAACGCCATCTGGAAGTACCTCCAGGATCGGTTCATGAACAAGACGGCGGTCGGCGTGGCCATTCTCATCCCTAGCATGTTTCAGGTCCGTCTTGAGGACTGCTCGGGAATGACCGACCACATTGCCAAGGTGCAGACCATTCATGGCGAACTCAAGGAGCTGGGTATAGTCTTCCCCGAGCAAGCCCCTGCAGCCGCCCTTCTTGTTGGACTCACCTCGGCATATGAAGTCACGAGGAAGATGCTCCTCACGCTCTCAGCAGAAGACCTCACCTTTGCTAAGGTCTCCACCGCACTCCTCTCTGCCGAGAAAGACTCCACGGCTCAGGCCAAGGCGTACGCCATCCGCGCTCCCATGCCCCAAGCAAGTGTCGCAGCGGCTCTCGCCTCGGCGCCCTTCCAGCGCAACCGCTTTCCTCCGTGCCCCTACGTCGTCAAGTATGGCAACCGCAAGGGACAAGTGTGTGGTGGCACTAACCACCCCCTTGCACCGTGCTTCAAGAAGAAAGACGACGAGTGGTATGCCCTCCACGGAGTTGACAAGAAGCCGCCAAACTGGATGCGCTCTCGCAAGGCCAACCTAGTTGAGGTCCAGGACCCCGCTTCGGCTAGTGCTAGTGATAGTGCTCCTGCTGATGTGCGTATCAACCTGTTGTTCCCTGGCACTGCCATGATTAATGAAGCAACCTCCCAGTACATCGGCTCATCACAGGCACCACAATACATAGAGTTCACACTCGATAGCGGGGCCACTCACACCGTGCTCAAGGAGACCTTCTCCTTCAAACCTTACCCAACACCTATCCCTCTCTTAGGAGCTGACTCAAGCTTCACCACCCTCGCCAAGGGTACCTCCACAGTCCCATGCCCCGCCTTCCCATCCGGCACTGTCACTGGCATGTGCGTGCCTTCACTGCGTCACAATCTAGTTGCCCAAACAGAAATTCAGGAGGCGGGGCTACGCACCATCTTCCCAGAGAACGAGGACTATTGCGACATCATCGATCCACGCACCAACAAAACTCTGGCCCGCTACACCCTCAACAGCAACGGCCTCTACACGCTACGCGTCCCTCTCCCACAGGTGTCAACCACCCAAGCACAGGCCACTATCACACCATGCTCATGTCGCACCCTCTCCAACCCGACCATCCTCTACCACCATCGGCTCGGGCACCCAAATTTTCGCACCCTTGCTGACATGGCCTCCAAGAAACTTCTCCTCGGCCTGCCAGCCGCACTTCCTCCACCACCTGACTCACCAGCTCCCACGTGCCTTGATTGCACCAAGAGCAAACTGCGCCAACAGCCCCATCCTGCCTCACCCACAGTCGCTGCAGCACCACTGGACCTCGTGCACATGGACGTCTGGGGCCCTGCCCCTGTTCTCGCACGAGGTGGCTATCGCTACTTCCTTGTTATCGTGGATGACCACTCCCGCTACGTCTCTGTTCACCTCCTCCACACTAAGGCCGAGGCTCCAGAGGTCATCATAGCGTGGGTCAAGCAGGCACAGACCACTTTTGACCGCAAGGTCAAGCGCCTTCACTCGGATGGGGGGGGTGAATTTTGCAACGACAAGCTCAAAGCCTTCTGCTCCTCCGAAGGCATCCAGCAAAACTTCACCCTCCCTGACAGCCCTCAACAGAACGGCATAGCTGAGAGCCGCAACCACACCCTGGTGCAGATCACTCGGTGCCTCCTCAGCCACTCCAACGCTCCACACTCTCTCTGGGGGTACGCTCTCTACCACGCCGCCCTCCTCTACAACCTTTACCCCCACCCGCACCTTCCCGACACCACTCCAACCACACTCTGGCTCGGGAAAACGCCCACTGCTCGCTCTCTTCGCGTTTGGGGATGCACCGCCTATGTCCTCCTCAACCCTCAGGCTCGACGGCATAACGGTGGCAAGCTCGGTCCCAAGACTCAGACGTGCATCTACCTCGGGCACAACGCCGACTCACCTGACTACCTCTTCCTCAATCCCTCCACTCAACAGTTGGTCAGGAGCCGCGACGTTGTCTTTGATGAGACCCGCCCATTCTACTCCCCTTCGGGACGGGACCCTCTCCCTGATCCACCCTCCCTCGTGTGGGCAGACTTTGATGCGCCTCCCGACCTCCCGCCTGCTCCTGCTCCCTCACCTCCTCCCTCTCCTGCCATCGCACCATCTCCCTCTGAGGTCACTGACCCGGCCTCACCGGTGTCTTCGGCAGCTGCTCCTCCCTCCCCCTCACCTTCCCCACTTCCCGCTGCGCCGCCCCCTCCGAGCGCACCTATCACCTACCATCGGCGGTCCCACCCTCCGGCCCCACCTCCTCCCCCGGCTCCCCCCACCACAGAGGAACCCGCTCTCCCACAGTCGCCCGAGCTGATCACGTACCGCCGGCGGCCCATTCCCCCGCCCAAGCCTACTAAGTCACCCTCTCCAACACCGCCAGCCCCACCCTCTTCCCCGGTGGCTCATGGCACTCGCTCACATCGCGCTACTCTTCCACTCGCGATGGTTCTTCGATACACCGCGATCACACCGCCTCCTCCTGCTGGGGGGGATGTGCAAATGGCAAACACGAACATGTTCGTGTTCGCCTGGGCTCGAACATGGCTGTTCGGCGAACCGAACACTGTTCGGTTCGCCGAACACTTTACACCAAAAAGGGTGTTCGAAGTTCGCCAAGAGAGGCGAACATTTTGAACGTTTTGGCGAACACGAACATGTTCGCCCAGAACATGTTCGCGTTCGCCTTAGAGGACCTTCTCAGATCCAAGTAGAGTGAAATCCAAATGTTTCACATTCCCTCCCCCCACCCCCCAAGCCAGTCCCGCCCTGCTTCATCCAAACTAGCGCCATCGTGCAACGGCGAAATGCTAGATCTACGCTTAAGCAACGGCGAAATGCTAGATCTACGCTTAAGCAACGGCGAAATGCTAGATCTGAGCTTAAGCAACGGCGAAATGCTTGATCCGCACTTAGGCAACGGCGGAATGCTAGATCTATACTTAAGCAACGGCGAAATGCCTTGATCCGCACTTAAGCAACGGCGAAATGCCTTGATCCGCACTTAAGCAACGGCGAAATGCCTTGATCTGAGCCCAAACACCAAGACCCGCGACCTAAAAATTGGTCGCGGGCCTATTCGTCGACGAACACATTGGTGTTTGTCGAAGGCCCGTGTCGAACACGAACACGTTCGTGTTCGACGCGCCTCGGCCAGCTGAGCCGGGCGAACGGCGAACGTGTTCGGGCGAACACCGAACACGTTCGCCCCGAACACTTTAGGCCCAAAAAAAATCCTGTTCGGTTCGCCTCGAACGTGTTCGAGGCGAACCGAACAGGTGTTCGTCATATTGCTCATCCCTACCTCTACCCTTCTAGAAGACAGGCATGAGGAGCTGTGTGATCTCAATGCAGTCATTCCTCGGCTCTCACACATCTTCCCCGACATCACTGGCTCACCCTCCCTCAACTTCGCGGAGAACCTAACCATCCCTATCCCTCTCACCGTCCAAGAGGCTCTCTCAGGCCCTCATGCTGCCGAATGGCGTGCTGCCATGGACGCGGAGATTGCAGCATTCACCCGCAACCACTCCTTCGACGACGAGACTCCACCTCCAGGAGTCAACATCGTCGGGGGCAAGTGGTTGTTCCGTGTAAAACAGCTCCCAGACGAGGCACCGGTGTTCAAAGCGCGCTACGTAGCCAAGGGCTTCACCCAGCAGCAGTACCGCGACTTCTTCCTAACCTTCTCCCCCACATCCAAACCTCCCACCATTCGTACGCTCATGGATGTCGCAGCTCGAGAAGACTTTGAGATCAAATCCATGGATGCCTCATCCGCCTTCCTACAAGGACGTCTCAAGGAGACAGTGTTCATGGACAGACCAGAAGGCTTCCCAGGAGAATTCCCTCCCAACACTGTCTGGAAGCTGAATCGCCCCGTCTACGGCCTTAAGCAAGCCCCTCGCGAATGGCACAACAAGGTGAAAGAAGTCCTCCTCTCCCTGGACTTCCACCCTTCAACTGCTGACCCGACTCTCTTCATCCGCCGTCATTCTGAGCCCTTCTACATCCTAGTCTACGTGGATGATTTCATCCTCGTTGCCAAGGACTCGGCCCAGATGACCTCAGTCCAGGCAGCCCTAAGCAAGGCTCTCCAGATGAAAGACCTCGGTGACCTCAAGCACTACCTGGGGATGGAGATCACTCGTGATCGCAAGGCTCGCACCATTTCACTCTCCCAGGAGTTCTACATCGACAATGTGCTCAAGCGATTTGAGATGGAGCTATGCACACCTGTTGCCACCCCGCTGCCGCTGCAACACCTCATCAAAGCTCCAGCTGTACCCACACCAGAGGCCTGCTCTGAGCCATACCCGGAGCTTGTTGGGTCCCTCATGTACGCCATGATGTGCACCCGACCGGACCTGGCCTATCCTGTCAGTGTCCTCTCTCGCTACGTGGCCCCTGGACGCTTCACTGATCTTCACTGGAAGGCAGCCAAGCGGGTGCTGCGCTATCTTCAGGGCACCAAGTCTCACGTCCTCACACTCGGTGGGCTCTCCCCTCCTGCTCTCCCCTCCTTGATCCGCACTTAAGCAACGGCGAAATGCCTTGATCCGCACTTAAGCAACGGCGAAATGCCTTGATCTGAGCCCAAACACCAAGACCCGCGACCTAAAAATTGGTCGCGGGCCTATTCGTCGACGAACACATTGGTGTTTGTCGAAGGCCCGTGTCGAACACGAACACGTTCGTGTTCGACGCGCCTCGGCCAGCTGAGCCGGGCGAACGGCGAACGTGTTCGGGCGAACACCGAACACGTTCGCCCCGAACACTTTAGGCCCAAAAAAAATCCTGTTCGGTTCGCCTCGAACGTGTTCGAGGCGAACCGAACAGGTGTTCGTCATATTGCTCATCCCTACCTCTACCCTTCTAGAAGACAGGCATGAGGAGCTGTGTGATCTCAATGCAGTCATTCCTCGGCTCTCACACATCTTCCCCGACATCACTGGCTCACCCTCCCTCAACTTCGCGGAGAACCTAACCATCCCTATCCCTCTCACCGTCCAAGAGGCTCTCTCAGGCCCTCATGCTGCCGAATGGCGTGCTGCCATGGACGCGGAGATTGCAGCATTCACCCGCAACCACTCCTTCGACGACGAGACTCCACCTCCAGGAGTCAACATCGTCGGGGGCAAGTGGTTGTTCCGTGTAAAACAGCTCCCAGACGAGGCACCGGTGTTCAAAGCGCGCTACGTAGCCAAGGGCTTCACCCAGCAGCAGTACCGCGACTTCTTCCTAACCTTCTCCCCCACATCCAAACCTCCCACCATTCGTACGCTCATGGATGTCGCAGCTCGAGAAGACTTTGAGATCAAATCCATGGATGCCTCATCCGCCTTCCTACAAGGACGTCTCAAGGAGACAGTGTTCATGGACAGACCAGAAGGCTTCCCAGGAGAATTCCCTCCCAACACTGTCTGGAAGCTGAATCGCCCCGTCTACGGCCTTAAGCAAGCCCCTCGCGAATGGCACAACAAGGTGAAAGAAGTCCTCCTCTCCCTGGACTTCCACCCTTCAACTGCTGACCCGACTCTCTTCATCCGCCGTCATTCTGAGCCCTTCTACATCCTAGTCTACGTGGATGATTTCATCCTCGTTGCCAAGGACTCGGCCCAGATGACCTCAGTCCAGGCAGCCCTAAGCAAGGCTCTCCAGATGAAAGACCTCGGTGACCTCAAGCACTACCTGGGGATGGAGATCACTCGTGATCGCAAGGCTCGCACCATTTCACTCTCCCAGGAGTTCTACATCGACAATGTGCTCAAGCGATTTGAGATGGAGCTATGCACACCTGTTGCCACCCCGCTGCCGCTGCAACACCTCATCAAAGCTCCAGCTGTACCCACACCAGAGGCCTGCTCTGAGCCATACCCGGAGCTTGTTGGGTCCCTCATGTACGCCATGATGTGCACCCGACCGGACCTGGCCTATCCTGTCAGTGTCCTCTCTCGCTACGTGGCCCCTGGACGCTTCACTGATCTTCACTGGAAGGCAGCCAAGCGGGTGCTGCGCTATCTTCAGGGCACCAAGTCTCACGTCCTCACACTCGGTGGGCTCTCCCCTCCTCGCCTGGAAGGTTACACCGACTCCTCCTGGGCTGATGACCAGACCGACCGACGCTCCTCTCAGGGGTACTGCTTCACCCTTGGGAGCGGAATTGTCAGTTGGCGCTCCACCAGGTCGTCTGCAGTCTCCCTCTCCTCATGTGAGGCAGAGCTCTACGCAGGCACCATGGCTGCTCAGGAGGCTCGTTGGCTCACCTTCCTCCTCCAGGAGCTTGGTTTCCCACAGTCCGCCCCCACCCTCTGGTGTGACAACCAGAGTACCATCCACATCTCTCAAGACCCTGTGTATCACACCCGCACCAAGCACATTGAACTCCGGCACTTCTTCATCCGTGACCTTGTCCAACAAGAGCAGTTGAAAGTGGAATACGTTGCATCTGACTGCAACCTGGCTGATCTGTTCACCAAGCCCCTTGGGAAAGTTCCCCACCACCGTCTCCTTGGCGCCATGGGGCTCTGTGCTCCACCCTCTCTACCCTGAGTTCGATTGACGCCTATGGGGGGGTGTTAGTGTTAGTCTTCAATCTCACAATTTGTACTTTGTATTTTCTATATCCTAGAGTAGTGTAGTTTGCACATTGTGTTTGGTTGGGTGTACACCTACATCCCAACCAAACCCAAATGTAATCTCCAACCAATCTCCAACCCACCAATTGGAGATTGCCTTGGGATTACCCCCAATCCCTAGAGATTGCCCCCGATTCCCTTCCCCATCCTTTTCCTACCCCTCTTGGATGTACTTAAAGAGCTTCAAGCTCATTACTAATGCATCAGTTCTAAGCCTATCTCTGACAAGAGGTGCTGCTTAGGGGTTGCCACTGCCATCATCGATTCCCATATTATCCTGTTTCAACACAGTAAAGTCAAACCAAGTCGGTCAAGCCAAGCTATGCCAGGCCAAGCACAACATTCACAGCGCCATGTGCTTCGTCACGTGCTTCGTCATGTGCTTCGTCATGCGCTTCGTCACGTGCTTCGTCATGTGCTTCGTCATGTGCTTCGCCATGTGCTTCGTCATGTGCTTCGCCATGTGCTTCGTCATGTGCTTCGCCATGTGCTTCGTCATGTGCTTCGTCATACGCTTCGTCATGTGCTTCGTCATGTGCTTCGCCATGTGCTTCGCCATGTGCTTCGCCATGTGCTTCGTCATGTGCTTCGTCATGTGCTTCGTCATGTGCTTCGCCATGTGCTTCGTCATGTGCTTCGTCATGTGCTTCGCCATGTGCTTCGTCATGTGCTTCGCCATGTGCTTCGTCATGTGCTTCGCCATGTGCTTCGTCATGTGCTTCGTCATGCGCTTCGTCACGTGCTTCGTCATGTGCTTCGTCATGTGCTTCGCCATGTGCTTCGTCATGTGCTTCGCCATGTGCTTCGTCATGTGCTTCGCCATGTGCTTCGTCATGTGCTTCGTCATGCGCTTCGCCATGTGCTTCGTCATGTGCTTCGTCATGTGCTTCGCCATGTGCTTCGCCATGTGCTTCGTCATGTGCTTCGCCATGTGCTTCGTCATGTGCTTCGCCATGTGCTTCGTCATGTGCTTCGTCATGTGCTTCGCCATGTGCTTCGTCATGTGCTTCGTCATGTGCTTCGCCATGTGCTTCGTCATGTGCTTTGTCATGTGCTTTGCCATGTGCTTCGTCATGTGCTTCGCCATGTGCTTCGTCATGTGCTTCGCCATGTGCTTCGTCATGTGCTTCGCCATGTGCTTCGTCATGTGCTTCGCCATGTGCTTCGTCATGTGCTTCGCCATGTGCTTCGTCATGTGCTTCGCCATGTGCTTCGTCATGTGCTTCACCATGTGCTTCGTCATGTGCGCACCTCCCGGTGGAAGTCCACGACTGTGAGCTTGGCACGATTCACAGCCCAAAGAGTGGTGCCATTGCGGGGAGACACGCCCTTGTACACAACTATGAGCCACAGCATTCCCTGCGCCCCTTTCTGTGAGTATATTCTAAACCCACAGGATATAGATATATAAAACCACTTCAAGGAGAGTCAAGTCAGGAGGACACACCTCACGTGCAGTGCAGGCTGCGCAGCATTCGCCGTACCTCTCTGTGGAAGTCCACAACTATGAGCCACAACATTCCCTGCATACCTCCTTCCTTGAACGCAGGTACCTCCACGTTCTGCGCAGCATTCGTCGTACCTCCCTGTGGAAGACATGTGCGCACCTCCCTGTGGAAGACATGTGCTTACCTCCCGGTGGAAGTCCACGACAATAAGCTTGGCGCGCTTCACAGCCCACAGGGTGGAGCCATCGCGGGGAGACACGCCCTTGTACACGTCGCCAAAAGCACCCGAGCCCAGGCAGTTGCCGTCGCCCCAGCTGTTGGTGGCTGCTAGCACCTCCTTGAGCGATATTTCCGGGCAGCTGGATGACGCGAGGCTGCCCGCTGGGCCTGTTCATGTGGTAGGGGGCGATAGAGGAGCAGCAACGAGGAGCGCAGCAATGATGAGGGTGGAGTAATGATGAGGGCGGAGCAATGATGAGGGTGGGGTGGTGTGTGGAGCCATCGCGGGGAGACACGCCCTTGTACACGTCGCCAAAAGCACCCGAGCCCAGGCAGTTGCCGTCGCCCCAGCTGTTGGTGGCTGCTAGCACCTCCTTGAGCGATATTTCCGGGCAGCTCGATGACGCGAGGCTGCCCGCTGGGCCTGTTCATGTGGTGGTGGTGGTGGGGGGGGGGGGGTAGAGGAGCAGCAACGAGGAGCGGAGTAATGATGAAGGTGGAGCAATGATGAGGGTGGGGTGGGTGGTGAGGCGGAGCAATGATGAGGGCGGAGCAATGATGAGGGGTGGGTGGTGTTCAAATGTATGCGCCACGCAAAGAAACAAAAAGAGGCACGGAACGACAGACGAATGGATGGACAAGCAGATGATAAATGATCAGACAGACTAGAGGGTGGGCCAGACTGAAGCGATCAGACAGATAGACTAACGGAAGTTATTGGATTGGAAGGATGGGGAGGAGGAGGAGGAGGAGGAGGAGGAGGAGAAGGAGGAGGAGGAGGAGGAGGAGGAGGAGGAGGAGGAGGAGGAGGAGGAGGAGGAGGAGGAGGAGGAGGAGGAAGAGGAGGAGGAGGAGGAGGAGGAGGAGGAGGAGGAGGAGGAGGAGGAGGAGGAGGAGGAGGAGGAGGAGGAGGAGGAGGAGGAGGAGGAGGAGGAGGGATTGGGTTGGTTCTTGGGGTACCAACTCTTACCCTTGCGTCGTCTCAGCCACAGCAGCGCACTGAGTACTGCGAGCAGCAGCAGAGCCACAGCAGTGGCAGCAATACCGGCAGCGGCCCCTGGGGGAAGAGAAGATCCAGACTCAGCGGGCGATTGCGCGGGGGCGAGGGTGGGTGTGGGCGGCGTGGAAATGGAGAGAAGTGGTGGAGACGCTCCTGAGGGGAGGGGTGTTGATTTGAGAGGCACACAATCATTGAGAGACAAGGACAATGGAGAAGCATGAAGGAGGAAGATGACAAAATGTACGAGCAACAATCTGAGACGACGAGGTGGCACCTGGAACAAAGAGCCTTGACAGATAAGGGAGTCGAAATGCCACGTTTGCTCAGGTACCTCCATTGGAAATGTCAGATGTGCGCGAAATGCCCGGCTTCGCACAGATACAGCAGAGCAGAGCAGAGCAGGCAACTACGAGCCATATGACAGACGGTCAATCGCCAGCTGGGCTCGTCAGCCAGCCAGCTTGTCATGGAATGGATCGAGATGAGCTGGCTCGACTCGGACCTATGCTCATGTCTAGCACTTTCCATCGGACCTATGTCTGATTGTCGTAATGGGCTGCACTCTCCATCTGGGAAGAAAAGGAATGGCTGGGGTGGGGCGAGCAACGCGGGACGATGATCATCGACCATTTTCACTACATGTTAACGAGAAATAGATGGAGAGAAATGAAGGGTGTTTACCTGAGAATGTTGTTATACACGGGGAGCAGAAGGAGACGCATGTCTTGCAGAAGGGGCTGCCTGCTTGCTGCTCCACCTCGCAGCTGCTGTTGTCTGGTGGGCATGTGAGTGACGTCCCGTCAACACTCCTGCAGCGCAGGAGCGGAGCAGACGAAAAAATCATCCAATAAGGTGTTGTTAATGTCCAGAGCAGGGAGGGGCTGCTTGCTTGCTGCTCAACCTTGCAGCTGCTGTTGTCCGGTGGGCATGTGAGTGATGTCCCGTCTACACTCCTGCAGCGCAGAGCAGAGCAGACGAACAAATTATCCAATAAGGTGCTGTTAATGTCCAGAGCAGGGGCTGCCGGCTTGCTGCTCAACCTTGCAGCTGCTGTTGTCTGGTGGACATGTCAGTGACGTCCCGTCAAGACTCCTGCAGCGAAGAGCAAAGCAGAGCAAAGCAGAGCAAAGCAGAGCAAAGCAGAGCAAAGCAGAGCAAAGCAGAGCAAAGCAGAGCAAAGCAGAGCAAAGCAGAGCAAAGCAGAGCAAAGCAGAGCAAAGCAGAGCAAAGCAGAGCAAAGCAGAGCAAAGCAGAGCAGAGCAGAGCAGCGCAGCGCAGAGCAGAGCAGAGCAGAGCAGAGCAGAGCAGAGCAGAGCAGAGCAGAGCAGAGCAGAGCAGAGCAGAGCAGAGCAGAGCAGAGCAGAGCAGAGCAGAGCAGAGCAGCGCAGAGCAGAGCAGCGCAGAGCAGAGCAGAGCAGATGAACAAAATATACAAAATACGGGTTGATAATGTTCCTGCAGACGAAAATAATACACCATAAATTCAAGTGCCGTCAACGTTCCTGCGCGAGAAGAGTACACGTAAGACCCGATCAAGTGTGGTGCGACAAACGCCTACAAACAATACAAATACTGGGGCGCCTACAACTTACAAGTGCTGGGGTGGGGCGCCTACAAGTCGGAAATCTTGGTCAGGCTTCCCATGCTTGGAGGGAGGCTGCCAGAAAAGTTGTTGTTGCTGATCCACCTGGACGGTACAGGCATGTGAGGTAGATGCAACGCAATGCACCATACATGCATGTCATATAGAGGCATGTGAGATAGATACTTGCACATATGCATGCTGGGTAGATGCGTTTAAGCGACAGGAAAGACGGGGAGCGACAAACAGAGAGAGGGAAGGAGCTGAGAGGAGAGGGAGTGGCAAAAGGGGGGTGAGGATTTTCAATCAAGCATGCAGGGAAAGGAATTTGCCATCTCAGTGAGGTTAGCATGAATAATTCTGGAATATCCCTTCTGGGATGAGCCGAGGCCAAGCTGGAGCCACTCTCTCCTGAGCTGAAAGAGCCGGGGCCAAGACAGGGTCGGCTTGTCGCGAGCCGCTCTTTCAGCATCCCAGACATGAGCCTAGCTGGGGAGTTACCCTTTTGGCAGGTTACCCTTGTGGCGGGTTACCCTTCTGGGGGTTATCCTTTAGGGTAAACTCTCTGAGAGCCATGAAGCGAATTCGCTGGTAGCTGCAGTTACAGCCGTAAACTCTCTGGAGTGCCCGGCCCACTTACACAAGGATGGTGACGCACTCCTTCACTCACTCGCTCACTCACTCACTCACTCACTCACTCACTCACAGGTCAGTTAGCCTTGTGAGTCGGCCGATGGATTGAGGGATGGTGCCACTCATGGCGTTCAGCATGATGTCTCTGGTGGGGACACATGCAGGGGGAGGCACAACTAGTGACAGCTAGTTGGAAGATAAGATAGTACTAAGGGAGACAAAGGGCGGATGGATTGAGGGATGGTGCGATTCATAGTGTTCATCATGATGTCTCTGAAGGAGGCACACGCAGGGGGAGGCCCACACCTCTCAGTGCTTTGATCCTCGCCTTGCTCGCTGGGGGAAATATAACAGCACTCTAAGCAAGGAAATTGGGCCGAGGGGTTTTGTCTGGGAAATCATCAACAACAAGCTCAACAACACAGCTAACTTCAAAACACCAACACCAAGGGAGGTGAATTCTGAGCGGTCTCAGTATTCAACACACAGCAACACAACACGTGGGCCCAACTGCATAGCACACAAAGTGGATGGAGTTCCCACATTGCATCATTGCCACAAAGTGGCACAAGTGAGTAAGATTGGCAGTATAATTGAGAGGGGGACAGTAAAGCACATTACTCACAGAGACGACAGCCCTGTCAGATTGCCAATGGAGGATGGAATCCCTCCAGTGAAGTTATTTGAGCCGAGCGCCCTGGTGGTGCGTGCGTGCGTGGAACCCCATTGTAACCCCGTTGTATAAGGAGGAGGGAAATAGACAGTGCAGTGGTTGAAATGAGATGAGGCAAGGATGACACAGAAGCTAGGTATGAGCAAAGTATTGAATGGAACCCTGCATTTGCTTGGCTCTCGAACTCGAAACGGTTCGAATGGAACCGATTCAAGTCAAGAAGGGCAGATTATTTGCCGGAACGAAGCTTGACTGTTATGGAACGAACCAGGCCTGTTCGAACGGAATCAGTGGCGGCTGGTTCGGGTCAAGCTGGTCCATACTCGGGTCGGGTCAAAGCCGTCCATACTCGAGTCAAAGCGGTCCATACTCGAGTCAAAGCGGTCCATACTCGAGTCAAAGCGGTCCATACTCGGGTCAAAGCGGTCCATACTCGGGTCAAAGCGGTCCATACTCGAGTCAAACCGGTCCATACTCGGGTCAAAGCGGTCCATACTCGAGTCAAAGCGGTCCATACTCGGGTCAAAGCGGTCCATACTCGAGTCAAAGCGGTCCATACTCGAGTCAAAGCGGTCCATACTCGGGTCAAAGCGGTCCATACTCGGGTCAAAGCGGTCCATACTCGGGTCAAAGCGGTCCATACTCGGGTCAAAGCGGTCCATACTCGAGTCAAAGCGGTCCATACTCGGGTCAAACCGGTCCATACTCGGGTCAAAGCGGTCCATACTCGAGTCAAAGCGGTCCATACTCGAGTCAAAGCGGTCCATACTCGAGTCAAAGCGGTCCATACTCGAGTCAAACCGGTCCATATTCGGTTCGACCCGAGCTCTCAAGAACATGGCAGCAGAAGAAGATAGCAACTCACAGGGTCTTGAGGTTTCTAAGCTTGGTGAGAGATGCCGGAATGGAGCCGTTCAGATAGTTGTTTCCGCTGAGGGATCTGATACGAAAGTCAAGCGAGCGACAGGTGATTCGGTCTCTGAGTCACTCAAGACTAGAAGCAAACGAGCTGACTGCATAACAGCCAGCCTGGCGTCAGGGCAGCCAATCTGCGTTGACTGCGCCCCCATGGTAAAGTAGATCAATGTACAAGCATGGCAGCACAGCAGCACCCACCCCCCTGCATGCCCCCCCTGGTAAGCAGATCTGTGAAGGAGCGACATTGCAGGCTGGATAATTTTCGCCGTTTAAGACCCAACACTTGCAGCATTGCAAGCACAAACGCACAGGAAACAATGGCCCAACAAGCTTTGTTGATTTGAGAACAAACGACAACAGTCCTGTCGAAAAACAATTCCCTCTTCTTTCAAGATAGAGGAACGTGAGAGGGTTCTGCTTTTAAGCCGACTCAAGGCAAGAGAACAGACTGACAGCTGCTGCAGGCTGGCAAGGCTGCCAATGGCTGACGGAATGGACCCCCTCAAGGCATTCTGACTGAGATTCCTGTTGCGGTACCAAGGGGTTTGCGTGGGTAGCAAGGTGGGGGAATGGGTGGAGAGCGGCCGGGGGCAGCTCGGTCAAAGAGTAAATGTGCTGAATGGATGGACAGGCATTACTACTAGAAGTAAAGAGATCCGGACCGGACTGAACCTTATGCCACACACGTTTACAAGAGGGAGGAGGGCGCTAGTGGAGAGAAGAGGCACACGTCAGATGCAAGAAGAGAACTAGCAAAGTACCATGGCACTCTTCATGTCTGGTGTGGGCCATTGCGGTGTGGGCCATTGCGGTGTGGGCCACTGTGGTGTGGGCCATTGCGGTGTGGGCCACTGTGGTGTGGGCCATTGCGGTGTGGGCCATTGTGGAGGCATCGCCAGGTGCGATCAGTCGGGGATCAGCCTTGTGCTCCCGCACGCTGCACTCCTTTATCCACACACGTCTGATTGATCTTTCTAGAAGTCTCAAACGTGCCCCCACACTCCCCTCCCCTCCCTCGTCACACAGCACGCACAGGCGAGTCAGGCGAGTGAGATTTGTAAGGGACTCTGGAATCGGCCCGCTGATGCCCATATTCTCCAGGTCCCTGCACGGTATGGTGCGGTGCGGTGCGGTGCGGTGGGGGGAGATGACCGAGAAGAGAGCCTTGAGAAACGGGAAAAGCAGGGCGGGCTTCGGTTTCTCCAAGTTGGGCCAGCCCAGCCCAGTGGGCCCGGGCAGGGCAGGGCAAGCTCACGCAGCAGACCCAACAACAGAGCCAGGGCCAGGCTGGGCTGGGGGACTAACTTAAAAAGGAGCTGGGGAGCAGAGCTGGGGGACAGAGCTGGGGGGAAGAGGTGGGGGACAGAGCTGGGGGACAGAGCCACATTGCATCCCTGGCAGGGCTGTGATAGTGGCGGGCGTGGCTTGAGTCGCTTTGCACTGCAATTGTATAATACTACTATATGCAGTGCTTCACTCACGTGCCCTGTGCTTCACTCGCTTGCTCTGTGCTTCACTCACGTGCTCTGTGCTTCACTCACGTGCCCTGTGCTTCACTCACTTGCCCTGTGCTTCACTCACGTGCCCTGTGCTTCACTCACTTGCCCTGTGCTTCACTCACTTGCCCTGTGCTTCACTCACTTGCCCTGTGATTCACTCACTTGCCCTGTGCTTCACTAACTTGCCCTGTGCTTCACTCACTTGCCCTGTGCTTCACCCACACCTCATCCCCGCTGCCCTGCTCCACTCACAGGGCAACAACCATGCCGTGCGCGTCACATGTGATGTTCTGAGCATGAGGGGCCGGCCCATACGGCGCACACATATGGGAACTCTCATTAGTGACACAATGCTAAGCTCACATGGCAACAACCATGCCGTGCGCGTCACACGTGATGTTCTGAGCATGAGGGGCCGGGCCATACGGCGAACACATCGCTCCCGCCTGCCACCCCTCAAACGTCCTCCCCCACGCCTTCTGGCACGCCTGCAGCACGGCCACTAGGGGAGGGAGGGACCAAGGGCAGAGGGGAGGGGGGGTCTGCGACACTGCATGTGTCTTTTTCCTTCGCGTTTCACCCGCCAAATCACTCCTCCCGCCTGGCGGCCAGCCGACTGCAGCTATGCAAGCGAGTGGGTTGGTGGCGATGCGAGCGAGTTGCGAGCGAGTGGGGTGGTGGCGATGCGAGCGAGTGGGATGGTGGCGATGCGAGCGAGTGGGATGGCAACGGATGGAACAGGAAGAGGTGAGGGGAAGGGATGATTATGCTCGCAGCGACGATTTAACGGGCAGCATTCCGCTGATGGGTGTGACCAACTGCAATTCGCCGATCTCAAGATGATGTATGGCGGTGTGGCTTGGCGAAGTGAGGCGCGACGTGGCAAAATGGCGGCGGGAAATGGCGAAATGCTGGCGCGCCGTGGCAAAATCAAGACGCGATATGTCGAAATGAGGGCGTGACTTGGCGAAATGGCAGCGCGATGCGGCAAAGTGACGTTGTGACATGTCGAAATGGGGAAATGCAGCGGGCCTTGTCGAAATGGCGGCGGCGTGACATGCGAAATGGTTGGATGACATGGCGAAATGGGCGCAACGCGGTGAAATGGCGGCGTGACGACGGCGAGATGACGGAGGAAAATGGTGAAAATGACGGCGTGAAATGCGAAAGTATTGGCTAGACATGGCGAAATGGCGTCGAGATTATCGATATATCAGCACACTCAGCCTGGCGATAGGACAGCGCTGGACCGACCTTGGGAGGGGTCTATAGTCACACTGCGGACTGCGGCGAGACACGTGGGCAGGAAGAGCATAAGCGCGCCGAGCCAATAGCTCAAAGCACCCATCACGAGGACTAAACCTGGTTGGTCCGCCAGCGCAGCTCAATGTCTGTATTTAGGTGTCCCGATAATAGACCGACAACGCGCAACGGAGCCTGCTTCTAAGGCCTCGAGGGCGGAAACCACGAGCGTGGGTGGATGGATTGGCTTTCTTTCTGGTGCTCCATGAGCAGACAATTGATGTGGGAGGCGGACCGCTGGGGGCGGATTGGTTTGGATTTGGTCCTACTTTTTAGGGGTTACCAATTTCGTTCAGGTAGTTATAGCATTATGCGAAGCTCTGAACACGACGAAGTTCCGATTTAACAAACAGCAACCCAAAAGCTTGGGTTACGGAGTCGTTAGTTTTTAGGGATACAGTATGGTACACCTCAAAGCAACGCGCCCTGAAACAAGGCCTGGCATGTTTACTGGAGCTAGCAAAAGGGTGTACCGTGTACGATACGGCACGCCAGACTTCGTTGGGGAGAGGTCAGGGGAAACTCAAGCCTAGAACTGCGGGGAGGTCTGGTTTCTCTTTCGCTTTGCGTCTGGTTCGGATCTAGTTTTTGGAGGAGTCTTCGCAGAGTAACCGGAGTCGCCTTCTTCGTTGAGGTATCGCACGAGGCTCCGAGCGTCGAAGCAGATCAAGTTCGTCAAATTCGACGAGCCCGAGGCTGAGTCGTGTCGCTACCCCCGACTTCGCCTTTCCCCAAGCCAGCCTCGCCACCGACATGGGCAGCTAGGTTCTGCTGGCGTGTTGAGGCTTTTCATCACATTCCCTCAACTCGGCACTCTACGTGACAAACAGCTTCCAACCCTAATTTTTGAACTTCGTGTGGTGTTAGCTCCCTTTCAGGGGATCCACCCGCTCAGGCATACCAAATTCATCGATGGCGGCTCGCACTAGCATGGAACCGCACCAGCTTTTCCGTTCGTACCGTCGCGCATTGACGGAATGGTCGACAGGGTCGTCGTTACAGTCAACCCAATCTTCCATGCTCACTCGCTCGATCAATGGCCTTTAGTTCCTACAGTAATCCACAAAGAACCATCAATACTTTGTTTTAGACCCTGCTTGCTTCACAGCTACTAATAGCCACTATTTTCTAATAGCAGCTGCAGCACCGAGCCTTCCACGTGCCCGTTTTTCCAGCCGCGCTAGGTTGCGGCGTTGCCAGACTCAAGTCCGTAATCCCGTCACAATCGTCGCGCTACCCCCACTGCTCACTCCCGCCTCGCGCGGCGCTCGGCTTCCGCCGCTACAGCTGCAAATGCCGCTGCCGCGCACTCCCGCCTCGCGCCGAGGCGGCGCGCACCGCCTGCTGCTCCCACGGCTGGTGATGGCGATGCTGCTGTTGGCGCCTGCTCCCACTGCCAGCGACGCCGCGCAAGTGATGCAGACCTATATCCCGCCGCAGCAGGCCAGTCCCGCCGTGGCCGCAGCTGAACGTACGTCTTGAGGTGAAATGCGATGATGGTTTTTTTCCCGTAGGACGCTTTGAACAATTCTGAGCTGCGAAAAATCTGCGCCTAGGCATTGCTGACCCATGTGCACCACCTTATGCCATGCACCATCCTCTGCCATGCACCATCTTATGCCATGCACCATCTTCTTCCATGCCCCATCTTCTGCCATGCCCCATCTTCTGCCATGCCCCATCTTCTGCCATGCCCCATCTTCTGCCATGCCCCATCTTCTGCCATGCCCCATCTTCTGCCATGCACCATCCTCTGCCATGCCCCATCTTCTGCCATGCCCCATCTTCTGCCATGCACCATCCTCTGCCATGCCCCATCTTCTGCCATGCCCATCCATCCATGCTTCCACATTCCTCTCTTCTCTCTTCCCTGCATGCCAGGGGAGGCCCTCCAGGCGTTTGCGAGGGCGATGGGCAACCATCCCGTGTTCTTCAAGTACGGGGGGGCATGGGTGAACGCCACGCTGCCATGTCTGCATGGCTGGAAATGGATCACATGTGATTTCTCTGGCCGAGTCAATGGCATGTAAGAAGTTCCGAGGCACCTCAAAACTAGACCTCTGGCTGAGTCAATGGCATGTAACAAGTTTGACTGAATCAAAGCCATGTACCGTGTCTGACCAATCCACACACAGCATTTACGTGGTTCGGCCGAGTCAACTCCATCACACCGTCACCCCATCACACCGTCACCTCATCACACAATCACCCCATCACACCGTCACACCATCACACCATCACCCCATCACCCCATCACACCATCACCCCGTCACCCCATCACACCATCACACCATCACACCATCACACCATCACACCATCACACCATCACACCATCACACCATCACACCATCACACCATCACACCATCACCCCATCACCCCATCACACCATCACACCATCACCCCATCACCCCATCACACCATCACCCCATCACACCATCATGCCATCACACCATCACACCATCATGCCATCACACCGTCACGCCATGAATCCATCATTTGGTGGCCTCCCTGTGCTGTGCAGTGACGTGAACAACCCTGCAATGACGGCACTGAATCCAGCATACGGAAGTGGCGGGAGCTCGCACGGGGGACTCAAGGGGCAGATTCCGTGGGGGCAGATGACGGCGCTGCAGCACCTGGTGTACATCAACGTGCAGGGGAACGAGCTCTCTGGCCCCGTGCTGCCTCCCGCCGTTTCCCACTTCTCCAATCTTGAAGAAATGTGAGCTTGGTGGTTGTGAGCTTGGTGGTTGTGTTGTGAGGCTGGCTGCTCTTGGTCGGGTGCACCCAGCCTCCCTCACACTGCTTGCCTTCATTTCATTTCATTTCCTTAACCTTGGCTAGGAGACTTGCTCATATCTACCATATTAATGACGTCGTGTGTTATTTTGTGTGATTGCGTTAAGCTGTGCTGTGCTGTAATGCGATGTGATTTGAGGTGGCGCAATGTCGTATGTCATGAAATTTCGCCGTGTGTCTGGAAGAATATTCCATCCAGGACAACCAGATGACTTTTCAATCGACTCAAAAGTCTCATGCTATACATGGCTGGCAGAATGTTCCAGGGCAACCTTTTTACGGGCCCTATGGATGATGCTGTCTCCTCCTTGAAGTCACTCCAGAAGCTGTGCGTCCCCTCCACTCCACTCCACTCCACTCCACTCCATGCCCTAGACCACCTGCCCTCACTGCATGCTGAGAACTGGCAGACATGAAGGAGAGGCTGCCTGGCGGCCTCTGAAGCTTGGCATCAACTGCACCAGCCACTTACATTGCACTCTTGCGTGCATCGCGTCAACTTGTCCTCGCACTACTTCCTTGCGTTACACTCTCGCTCTCACCTCCCACCACCTCACCATTAACCACTCTCTCAATCCCTCATCACTTTGCCTACGCTTCCCTCCCCTCTTCCACCACTTCTCTTCCGCGTTTCCTCTGTCCCACCTCCACACCACCCCTGACACCCCCCCTCCTACCTATTCCGGACCTCCCCCACTCCTCCCTGTCCTGTCCTGTCCTCCCTGGCTCCTCCGCGACAGTGATGTGAGCAGCAATCGTATCACAGGGTCACTGCCACGTGGCATCTCCTCGCTCACCCGGCTGACGTGGCTTGCAGTATCGCAGAACCAGCTGTCAGGGGCACTGCCGCCCGGCCTTGGCAACCTCACCCAGATCCAGAAACTGTAAGATGGTGACTTCTGAGTCGACTCAAGAGTAACCTTGGCAACCTCACTCAAATTCAGAAACAGTAAGATGCACACTGGACTGGGTCAGATCCTTTGTTGAATCAACACCTGCCCCAGATTTATTGGTATTTTTTTAAATTAATTATTATTATTATTCGATGCGGGGAATGGATGTATGGGGATGTGTGAACAACACATCCGGATATGTGCAGGACGGTCATTGGACTGGTATTGTGCATAGTTGTATTGTGTTGCCATCTGCCTGCAATCAGTCGCTAACCGCCACCATCGTCCACCCACCCAAAGGCTTGCCTCTGACACGCTATTCCCTGCACTTTCCCCTTTCCCATGCCATTCCCCTTGCCATGCCATCCCTTTTGCCCCTGCCATTGTCCTCGCCCTTGCCCTCCCCCTTGCCCTGACCACGCGTGTGCATGGGAGCATTGTCACCACAAACCCAATCAGGGACATTGGAGATAACGGCTTTCGAGGACCCATTCCTGAGAGCTGGGGCAATCTGCATCAGCTCGAGCTGCTGTGAGTTCCCGCTTCTAATCCTGTGAGTCACCCCGCTTCTAACCCTGTGAGTCACCCCACTTCAAATCGTACGAGTCACCCCGGTCTTTGTGAGACTATAGTGTGAGAAAGTGTAAGAACAACCGATAGTTTCATTAGGAAGGGCATGGGTTTACATAGTTGAGCTAGGATGTAGGAGCCATGCCAACATTATTGGCCCCCACCAATAAGTTGGGTTGAGGAATTATTGGGGGGACCAATAATGTTGACCAAAAGTGGGTCAACATTATTGGGGGGGCCAATAATCTCCCAACCCAACCTTGGGGGCCCAATAATTGGGCCAAGGTTGGGTTCCAACCTCAAACTAGGGTAAACCCTAGTTGTGCACCCAAACTAAGTTTGGGTGCCTATCTCTAGTCAAAGCTTATATGATGATGCAGGTTACAATGAAGATGGTAATCTGACACAACCCCTTAACCTGCAGAAATCTATAAGCTTTGGAAGAGAGAACGCAACAACCCCTGAATCAGCCACCGCGGGGAGCAAGTCCCTGAAGGCGCAGGAGCGCAGAGTGGTTAGAGCGATGGAGAGCCTTGGTGAAGAGGTCAGCGAGGTTGGCGGATGAGTCGATTTTACGAACAGTAATATGACCATCTTGCACAAGATCGCGGACAAAGTAGTAGCGGAGTTCGATGTGTTTGGAGCGACCATGAAAGACGGCCTCCTTGGTGAGGTGGATGGTACTATCGTTGTCACACCACAGGGTGGGGCAGGGCTGTGGTGAGCCAAGGTCGGTGAGAAGATAGCTAAGCCAGCGTGCCTCTTGAGCCGCCATGGTGACTGCGTACAGCTCGGCTTCGCAGGAGGAGAGGGCGACGGAGGAGGAGCGAGTGGAGCGCCAGCTGATGAGGCCGCTCCCAAGGGAGAAGCCATATCCTTGAGAACTGCGATGGTCCGGCTGTGCATCCGCCCAAGATGAGTCACTGAAGCCTTGAAGAACAGGTGGGTCCACACCACCAAGCGTGAGGCCATAGTCCTTTGTGCCTTGGAGGTAGCGCAGAACACGCATGGCCGCCTTCCAGTGCTCCTCACCATGCCTGCCAGTGCCAACAAACCGCGCCAGGACACTGACGGGGTATGCAAGGTCGGGACGAGTGCAGACCATGGCGTACATCAGGGCCCCAACGAGTTCTGCATAGGGATGAGGGGAGGTGACAGGAGTGGCTGGAGGGGACAGCCGATGCCCGAATGCAAGTGGTGTGGGGATGGGTTTGGATTTGGACATGCCCCGATGTAGAATGACTGAGAGAGGGTGATAGTCTTGGCAGTGAGGTCGCGGGTGATCTCCATGCCAAGGTAGTTGCGGACTTCCCCCAGATCTTTGCAGGCGAGACGTTGCTGCAGCTCATCCTTGACCTCCTGAAGTTCAGCAGCTGTCTCAGCTGCTAGCAGCATGTCGTCGACGTAGACGAGGATGAAGAAGGGTGACGGAGTTAAGCGAAGGAAGAGGCAAGAGGCAGCACGGGAGGGGCGAAAGCCAAGTGCGCGAAGGGTGGATGAGAGTTTGGCGTGCCATTCTCGAGGTGCTTGTTTGAGCCCGTAAACAGGGCGTAGTAGTTTCCAGACGGTGGCAGGGTCGTGAGGAGCGTGGAAGCCCTTGGGACGTTCCAAGAAGATGAGTTCGTGGAGGTCGCCTTGTAAGAAGGCCGTGGTGACATCCATGGAGTGGAGGAGCATCCCGCGTCTGCCAACGAAGTCCAGAAACACGCGAATGACCGGCGGAGTGGCGGTAGGTGAGTAGGTCTCGAAGAAGTCCGAGCCATAAGTCTGTGTAAAGCCTTTCGCCACATACCGAGCCTTGTAGACAGGAGCTTCACCAGGGAGTAGTTTTACTCGGAAGAGCCACCTGCCTTTGACCACGTTGTGCTTGGAGGGGCGAGGGACGTCGAGGAAAGAGCGGTTGTGGATGAAGGCGTTGCATTCCTTGACCATGGCCTCGATCCAGAGAGGTGCGTCAAGACATGCAATTGCTTGCTCGTAGGTGGTGGGTTCGTAGATGGTGGGGGTGTTGGAGAAAAGAAGGACCGTAGTACCAGCCATGGTGCGGACGACAGGGGCGATGGTGGGTGAGAGGAGGTGGAGGAAAAGGAGTTCATCATGAGAGTCTTCATAGAGGTCCGGAGAGAGAGGAGGAGGAAGAGGAGGCGGTGAAGATGCAAGACAGCTGCGCTGGAGGGTCAGGCTGGAGCGGGAACACGGCTGCACTGCTGCTCTGCTGCGCCGAGGGTCGGGGCGAGGAGACAGCTGCAATGCTGCTCTGCTGCGCTGAGTTGCCGTGAGGGGCAGGGAGACGGGAGCGCGGCTGGTGTGAGAACCTGAGGGGCTGGTGCGGGGGAGTGGGGAAGTGCTAGAGTGGTGGAGGAGTGGAATGGATGTGAGAGACCGGAGGGAGAGGTGATTGGACCGTGGGGGACCAAGGATGGGGACTGTGGAGCGGGTGTGAGGGTAGTGACGAAGGAGCAGAGGAGGGGACGAAAGTAAGGGCCGAGATGGTGGAGGGGAAGGGGGCGGAGGAGGAGATGGGGAGGGTGGAGGTTGGGAGAGGGGAGGGGGTGGGGGAGAGTTCAGGGGGGGGGGGGAGGGGATGGAGAGGGGGGGGTGGGGGGGGGAGGGAGGGGGGGGGTCAGCGGGGAGAGGGGAGGGTTAGTGGGGGGAGAGGGAGTTACAGCGGAAGGGGAGGGTGGGGCAGCCGGGTCAAGGATGTCCCCTGAGGAGGTTGGGAGAGAGGGGGGAGGGGGTGGGGGTGCGGGTATGACCAGGGTGGGGGGAGGTTGAAGGGGAGGGGTGAGGACAGTGTCAGTCCAGAGGAGAGGACGTATGGTGAGGGGGAGGGGGTTAGGGGCGGAGGGGGAGGTGTAGTACGGGTTGGCTTCATCAAAAACCACATCCCGACTACGAATGAGACGACCTGAGGGGGGGTGGAGGAAGAGGTAGTCCGGGGAGGTGGGGTTATGACCAATGAAGATGCAAGGGAGGGTGCGGGAGGCAAGTTTCCCAGCTGCACGTGAACGGTCCTCAGGGTGTATGAGAACATACGCCTTGGAGCCCCACACGCGCAGGGGGGAGATGTCGGGTTTAGTGGAGGTCCAGAGTTCGGTGGGAGTAGTGGTGGGCCGTGAGGGATGGGGGTAGAGATTAGTGAGGATGGCGGCGTGGAGGATAGCATAACCCCACAGAGAAGGCGGGCAGGAGGCATGGACCATGAGGCATCGAGCGGTCTTGGTGACCTCCCGAACCCTGCTCTCCGCCACACCATTTTGCTGAGGGGAATGAGGAAGGGTGTAGGTGTGGATAATGCCATGGGTGGAGCAGTAGGAGGAAAGCATCCGGTTAAGGAACTCACCGCCGCCATCGGAATGGAAGCGAGAGACAGGGCGTTTGAAATGGGTGCGTGCTTGTTCAGCCCAGGCAATAATGGCAGCCGGGGCCTCCGCCTTCTTGCGAAGGAGAGAGACAGTGGAGTACCGACTGTGGTCATCTACCAGTATGAGCAGGTAGCGATGACCTTGCCTGGTGGGGGTGGGATTGGGGCCCCAGAGGTCCATGTGGACGAGATCAATGGGTTGGGGAGAGGAGGGATGACTCTTGTGGGGGGCTTGCTTTAGTTTGCTTTCAACGCAAACTGAGCAGGGAGGGGAGGGCGACGGGGGGAGAGGGGGGAGGGTGAGGGGAAGTCCTTCAAGAAGTTGAGAGGAGACAGATTGACGAAGGGTGGCAAAGTTGGGATGACCCAAGCGATGGTGAAGGAGGACGGCGGGATGGGTAAGGTCACGACAGTGACAGGACGGGGAGGAGGGAGGGGAGGGGGAGGAGGGAGGGGAGGGGGAGGAGGGAGGGGAGGGAAGGGGGGAAGAAGGGGAGGGGAGGAGGGGGGGGAGAGGGGAGGGAAGAAGGGAGTGAGGGGGAAGTAAGGTGGGAGTGGTGAGTTGGTGGATGGAGGGACGAGGGGTGCGGTATGTGTACAGGTTTGTGTGTGGGCAGAGGGGAATACGACAGATGAAGCGACCAGTGATGGTGTGAAAGAGGTCGCAGTGAAGTGCATGACCGGGGAAGATGGCGGTGACACCTAACCTTGGGAGGTCACGAAGTGCTACCAGATTGTTGCGTAGGGAGGGGACGTGTAGACCTGTGACTGTGCCTGAGGGGAAGATGGGGCAGGGGAGAGTGGAGGTGTGTCGACTTGTGATGGTGAAGCTGAAGTCGGCTCCGTAAATGGTGGAGGGAGTGGGGAGGGGGACTAGTGTGCCTGCGTCCCGAAGGACAGTGTGTGTAGCGCCGCTGTCAAGAATGAACTCAAGGAGTGTAGAGGAGGAGGAAGAAGCGGAATACTGGAAGGATGTCTCATTAATAGCATGGGCATACATTGAAGGAGCAGGAGAAGCAGTGCTAACATGTCCTATGAATCCAGCAGAAGGGAACGGAGTGAAGCCAGGAGGATTGGAGGAGGAGGGCTGGTCAGTAGGAGTGGTAGCAGGTGGAGGAAGCACAGGGCCGTATTGAGGAGGTGGATAAGGAGGGTATGGCCAACCGGTATAGGGCGGAGGATAGTGGGGAGGAAGGGCTTGAGGAGGAGGTGTGGGTGGAGGGGGAATGGGAGGGGTGGGAGGGGTGGGAGTGGGAGGAGATGAAGGGAGAAGATGTTGAACTTGCTGGAGGATATGAGGTGGGAGATGCTCAGTGAGGACATTGTGAAGATTAGGGGTGGAGGGTTGATAGGCGGGGAGAGTGCGTATGTCATGGAGAGAGGGGCGCGGGAAGATGGTGTTCCATCGAGGTGGGGTGCCGACATTGCCACGTGCAAACCACTCATCAGTGAGGGCTTTGAAGCACGTGTCAGTGGTGTGAGTGGTTTGAGCGCAAGGCTGACCTTTGTTGGAGCCATAGCGAATGATGTACTGACACGGGGGAAGGGTACCCGAGGGAGAGGGGTTTTTGCCACGCCCACCACGGCCGCCACCACG